TCAGAACGCGTATCGACAGCTACAGAAAAGCGACGTTTCCATCGGGATCATCTTGGTATTAGAGTGTTAAATCTCGAATACTCACATTAAATATTTGACCAATTTTGACACCAGTCACATTACTTTCTTCCAAAGAAACTATTCGCTTTAACAACCCAAAACAAAAATGACTTTTATCTAATCGTGCACTAATTGCATCTAATATGTGCACTTTGAAATCAGAGAATATATTTTTAATAACATAAAACATTTTAATCTTTCAGTAAAAAAAGAAAAAAAATAAATAATACATATAATCATTTATACTGATAAATGAAAAAATCCAATTAAAAATTCATATTTTAGAATTATCTGTTTTAGAAAAAGTACACGCGTATTCCTCGAAGGAAAAGCGTGATCATTACGACGTCGGTGTATAATGTTGAGAACCACTAAAAGTGCGGCGCCTGTCTGCGAGTATGCTGACCGCAAGTGCTGCTATCAGAACTGTCATTATTATGTATCTGTTTCAGAGTTATTCATTTCGTTGAAAGCGGGTGGATTTAAGGCTACATGCTCTGAGGTTCCGAAATGAAAAGATCAAAAGGGAATCAATTGATAGATAGATAGATCGATAGATGGGCAAATAGATGTACACTTATTTATAGTTTGAAAATTACTTCTCTCTTGTAATGTCATACATCAAATGAATATGTCATCGAAATAGAAAATAAATATATGTGCTTTACGAACCTTAAACAACATTTAACTAAAAGTCATTGTCAATGTATGGTAACTTATACATCTGTACATCTGTATATATCAAACATATATTTGAAGCATCCACATTTAAAAAAAAAAAATTCACGATAGCGATAGCATATATTCGAGAAAAGTATTCATGTGGACGATTATAGCTATACCCACTTCTTTTTATAACTCTTCACATATGAGATTTTGATTATATTCGCTAATCGCTAAATTACGTTCGATAATAAAAATACTGGCCTTTTTTGACCTATGTATTTCTTATCCTACGGATGATCATCTTTGTCAGTCAAACAAATGTCGATAAAATAAAATTAAAAAATATTTCAATAAATTTGACAATTTCATCATTAACAATGTTAGTAAAAATCAAATATTGAAAAATATGAAATAAAGAAAAACAACGTTATTTAAATCGTTCGAATATAAACTTTACTGGCACTGTTTGATAGTAATTACATTTTTTTATAAACACACGACTTAATGGGTCGTAGAATGACATACATTAAATTCTCCCCACATATTTTTAATAAGAATGATTTCATTTGTATGTCAACCGCATGATGATCAAAAATATTACGAAACATTTGTCCTTGAAATGTCAGATACATTAGTAAATTTATATTAAATTACATTGAAAAATCTCGCCTTTCTGGCCATCTAATAAAGAAACAATAAATATCATTTAGTATGCTTAAAATAAATCAGGGACTAATGTAAAAATACGATGCTACAACGTGACAGCAACAATAACGAGGCTTAGTTAAAAATAAACAATTCAAATATTCGCAAAAAGGAAGGTTCGAAATAAGAAAAAGATTGGTCCTAAACTAGAAGAGTCCTAACAGCGACCTACCACCTACTACAGACAACTTTAACGCGATAATGAGCGATGGGCCTGACCTAGGCTTTGTATCGGCCGTGACCTTCGTTACGAATCGAGGCCGGTTCGTCGTTCGTACTTGGAAATTCGAACACGCCTATTTCAGCCTGGACTGTAACCTTCTTTCAACAGGTTAATCTCTCCCCCCTGATCCCTTCTTCTCTCTCACCCTCTCTCTCTCTCTCTCTCTCTCTCTCTCTTCTTTCTATTTCTCTTTCTTTCCTAAAACAGGTCAAAGCCAGAATTAACTTTTGCCAAAAAAATCACGCAAATTTAAACATTTTGAAGAAAAATAATTATTTTCAATGAAATATGTAAAATAATTTGAAAATAACACAAAGTTTAACCTATCATAAATGTTTAACTAATTGAATCGAATAATACTTGTTTTTATTTTATAATAAATAATAAAAAACAAGAAATGAAATTAACAAGGAAAAAAATAACTAACACAAAAGAGATTTTGTTTTCCTTATTTTCAAGAAAATTTTCTATCGAAGCGATAACATAAACGGAATGGAAGAGCTAGTTCAACTTCGAGAAGAACAAAGAAGTTATTTCGGTTGAATACTCGCTAGCCAGACGACAAAAACACCGTAAGGAAATGACTAATTCGTTAACCACAAATCGCACATATGACAGATCGTTGTTAGAACCCTTACAATTTAATTCAGAGGCATGTACGTAAATACGATCGTTGAAATTATTTCGTTTTCTCGTTTCGAATTATTTCTTAACGTAATATATACCCATTAAATCACATGAATATATGTATATACTGGTATATACTTATAATGCGATAAAAACGAAAGAGAACAATCTAAAAAATAGAAACATTTTATTGTAAATATATATATGTGCATATATCAAAATTATTGATGTTGCCACACGCACGTTCGAGATCGACCTGCATTCGAACGACCAAGATCGATCGATCGATCGATCTCTCGAGGACGCACTGCAAAAAACTGACTGTCGTTTCGTCGAAGGAAATCTAGATGCAAGAATGCAGAGTAAAGAAGGAGAAAAAAAGAAAGAAAGAAAAAAGACGAGGAAGATGAAAATTGAAGAGAAAGAGAAATATGTGTATATAAAAAAGAATGAATAAAGAGAGACAGAGAGAGAAAGGAAGATAGAGAGAGAGAGAGAGACAATAAGTTTGTAAAATCAAGATCCAGAATGGTGTCATGTAAGAATTGCAGAGTACCCGAAGAAAGATAAAGATCGACCAAACCGATAGCCCTACAGGAATTTGATGCTCCCTTCACCACCGTCCTATCCTCTAAAAATACTATCTTACTTTATTCTTTCTTTGGTGTAAGGCCCATTTTAAATATAATTAAAAAAGAAAAGAGTGTCCATCTAATATTGACATAAAGAAATCAAAAAGAACCATTGTATATTTCCAAATTTATAACAAATCAAAAAAATATTTTGAAAAATCCGAAACAACGATCAACAGATTTTTATTTTCTTTTTCTTTTTTTTCTTTATATTAATAATATAATTAAAATAATAATATATTAATCAACAAAAAAATGTACTCGTCTTTGTTTCTCTTTCTATCTAACTATTTCTTCATTTTCTTACTTCAATAAAAACGTATGCTTTTGTGTGATCAATTTGCAGTATCCTATTATCAACACGAACGAGAACAAAACGCATGTAGAACAAATAAACGGCTGGTAAGGCACGTAAAACTGCATTAACAGATGAAAAGAATTCGTCATTGGTTCAAAAAACATGTCTCTAATGCTGGTCGTAAGAACTTTTTGTCTTATTATCCTAAGATAAAGGATTTTATACATCATACAAGTAGTTCGAGATGTAATGCGTTTATGCAAGAATAAAATTTAACTATCGATTCTTGATGTAACGAAATTCCGCAATGCGGAAAACAAATTAGAATTGATGATTTTTTTTTTGTTTACTAAATAGTTAAAAATAACTATTTCATTAATTCAAATAATTTCAATATTTATCATTCGTATATTCTATTATTATTTATTAACTCTAAGCAATTCGATCCTTTTCATTTTTTCCAATAAGAGTCACTCATCTTGGAGTAACCTTGCTGGAATATAAAGACAATACTACGTTTCATTTTGCAAACTAAACGTGAACAAGAGACTTTTCCGAGCGAAGTTTTATCTTTCTTAAAACAAAGCGCTAATTTTAGTAAATAATTAGTTATCGTTGATTTGTGATTCACGTTGACATTTATACATCCCCTCTGAAAACTTGGACTCCGTTCGCAGGTGATTCGTTCACGTGGATGTATGTAACATTGTTAATGATTTATACGTATATTTAAAAGTAAACAAGTATTGAGATACAATGTGTAATGTATTTATATTTAAATATAAGTATATACATATCTAGTTAAATGAATATAAATAAATATAGTATTTATATGAGTATATGTATGCACATACGGGCGCGAATGTGTGTTTTACTTGTGTACCCGTAACCTGTTACCTATGTACATGGAAATCTGTAAAATTATACATTTTTTAAAGGTTCGACACGAAAATTACTCTCGGCATTACGAACATGAAAAGACAACTTTCGTAGAAAGATCAAAAGAACACGTTGAATAAATGGCGTTTCGTGGAACGTGTTATACGAAATTATCAGTTACGCTATCAAGATTGATCTCGAAACTTATAAAGCAACACGGTACATCGATCAAGCCTATATTAAGTACGTTAATACGGCCATGAAATTCAGATTAACTGGAAGCAGGTAGAAGAAGAAGCCGTCCGGTGGTTCACGTCGATCATTTCTCGAGGTGTTTTTTAACAATTCATTTTTTAATATATGAATACAGGGAGGAAGAGTTAAACACAGGTTGTAAGGTAGCCTACTAACACGAGTACATGGCTTTTACCCTATAAAAGTTTCGAGAATAATCTCGCCTAAAGGATTCGCGTAGGTAGAAGTAAGTCGTGTCTTCTTCTGAGCCTTCTCCCCTCTTCTTTCCATTTTTCTCCAAGGAAGAAGTATGCATTATGTATGTATATTATATAGAGAGAACGTTTTTAACGGTGAGAAAAAAAGGGAAAGAGTGAGAGAGAGGCTCAATAAGTCCCATTATCGCCTTGTACAAGCCCTCGACGCCTAAAGGCAAAGATCGAATTTCAAAAATCGATGCCGTAAGAACCCCGTAAGACGAAAAAGAAGATATGGGCTCAAAGTATTTCACCGATTAACGATCGAACAATTTTTTTTCTTTCCTTTCGTTTCACGTCGATACGCGAATTATCTACAATATCGTTAGGAAAAGTATCAACGAAAAAATGTGTTTCAAATAATTAACTAGGGGAAAATAGGGGCAAGAAAAAAATGGCAAATACAATTTGGTACTCACGTGGTTGTGCCAAGGCAAAGATGCTCTCGGTCTTAGCGGCGTACTCGTCAATTTCTTCGTGATAAGTGATACCGGGTTCTACTGATTGAGGTTGATCGGCCTGCATTCCGTACATGTCCATAAGTTTTGAAATAGGCGGGATTCTTGGGAAGGCTCTACCAGTCATATTAGGCGCCTGCTTCAATCCGAGCTTATTAAGTATCTGCTCTTTGATAGCTTCGAGACTGAGAGCCCTGATCTCTTCGTGCATCCTACAAGCGTTGCAGGCAGTACCGGCCATTGCGAAATATCTGACGCGAGCTCTCTCGATGCCAGGCGCGTCGAAGGCACCGAGGAGGAGCAACGAGAGTATCAGGAGCGGTCTCGTGACCATTTTGCTCCCAAGGTCACGGCTCCTGACAAGGAGGAAGCGTCGCTCGCGGGCTTCCGTCTTAAGCACGATCTGACGATCAAACAATCCGCGACGACCACGTCATCCTTCTTTTTCCTCTCTAATCTCAGCGTTTCTTCCACTTCCGTATTTTCAACTCGAATAAGGAAATTCCACCTTCCTGGAGATTTTCTTTTCCTCCTCCCCCGCCCCTTCTTCTTTTTTCTCCTTTTCCTCCGCCCCCTCCTCCCCCCCTCCTCCTCTTCCTCCTCCTTCTGCCTCTTCTTCCTTTCTTCCGGCTGGTCGCCGTCCTCTCCTATCTCTACCACTTTCTTCTTCTCCACAACCACCACCAACACCTCCACCACTTCCTCCTCCTCCTTTATCGCAAAGCACTAGCTTCTTCTTACCAATTACGTGCGACCCCCGTTTCACGTTTTTCACTTCAAGAAACTTCCGCTTGACGTGTTTAGCCGTCGGTGATATTGCACCGGTCAAAATAAGCGACCACCAGCCCGACGTAATGCAATCGCGATCCAGCTTCGATTTCTTCCCTACGTCTTTGAGATTTTAATCAGTGCTTGTTTTAACAATCAATTTTATGACAAATGTGGTCCTTTGCGGCACTTTTTAGTAATAAATCACGAAAAAATAACGACGATAAAAATGAATCAGTCGATTTATGCCCTTAAAGCACACTTTTAATCGATCGGTAGACTTTTGCTCGTCACGTCACATCGCAGAGACGACAAAATTGTTCGCGTGGTAGCCAAGGGCTTAAGTCAATTAGATACAACACACTGTCCGATAAAAGTAACTCCGACTTGACTGAGACGACAACACAAACGGAGAAAGGAGATAAAAGAGAATCAAAAACAAATAGAGAGAGAAGAGAGAGAGTAAGAGAGAGAAAGAGAGAGTAAAGCAAGAGAACGAGAGCGGTGGGGGAGGAAAAAGAAACGATGAGTACGACGAGCGGTCCCGCTGCACCCTTGTAACCTCCAATTCTAACCCGTTCTCCTCGTCATCGTCATCGTCGTCGTCGTCGTCTTCGTCATCCCAAAGAATATCGCGCGCCGTATTTCGAACTCGAAAGGAGCTTCTTCACCGGCACATCGCCTTTTGCATACTCTCGATCAGCATTAGCCCTTACGAACGACCGTCACCTCTATTTCTTTTTCTTTTTCTTATATTTCCTTTTTCTCCAGTTCCATTCACAACGATACCACCGCCACTGCCGCCAATGATCTTCGCGATTTTAGCGATCGTGATTCTTCTCCTTCAATCCTTCCTCCTTAAATCGTTCTTTCCCCTATATTACGTCAGACTCGAGATGGTGCTCCAGAGACAAGAATAAGATACCTTCTTCGAAGGTAACTAATAGAGTGAGATACGCTGATCTCCTCGTGTTGTCTATCTCTTTTTATCTAGGATAGCAAAAGAAAACAAATCAAGAGATAGAGATAAATAAAAACAGAGATAGAAAAAGAAAGTGAGGGAGTGAGAGAACGTGAAAGAGAAAGAAAGAAAGAAAGAAAAAGAGAAAATGTGAAAAAAGAAAAATAAAATAAGAGCAAAAGTATCACGCGTGAAGAAGGTCGCGTCGATAGGGTGAAGGGAGGGGGTTCAGGATTGCCGGTAGGCGCGATACCTACAGATCCTTAAAGCTTGCTAGCCTGTCAAGCACTGAGTCAGGAGGCGCGCGGTTTCACCGCATATATGTCGAGGTGGAAGCCTCCTTCTCTCTTTCTTCTTCTTCTTTCTTCTTCCATCGTCCTCTCCTTCTACTCTCTCTCCCTCCGTCTCTTCCTTCTTCTCCTTCTTCGCCTCCCCTATATATCTCGCTCCCGTTTTCTCTCTCGGCGCCTTACTCTCCCTCCCTCCCCTTCACTCCTACCCCAACTCTTGCCCCTGCCCCTTCCCCTTTTGCTCGCACAATATTTCTTTCTCTTACTCTCTCTCTCTTTCTCTATGCCACTTTACCTCCCTTCTCCTCTTGTTCTCCCTCTTTGACGTGCGAGCGTAGTATCTTATGCATTCACATGTAGCGGGGCTGTGCGTCTACCCGTTGCCGCCGTTGTCGGCACGACTGACGCCTATGGCTCGTTGCCCCCCACTCTTTGATCCCTTCCTTCTTGCCATCACCATCGCCACTACCATCACCTCTTCTTGCACCCTCCAGCCCGTCACCTCCTTCAGCTACCTCCCACCACGCGCTACGCGATCCTTCGTGGCGATCATCATCGCCTGTTAAAGAGTGCTCTTTCTCTTTCTTTCTTTTCTCTTTCTCTCTCTTTTCTATCTTCCTATTGAGTTCGAATCTTTTTTTTCTAAACAAGAGCATCGACGCCAATCGACAATCGATGATCAACGACAAATCAACCGACATTCGCTCCCACGTGCAGAGCACATTGCTGTTAATGACGAATCTCTTTGCTTATTCTTCTCCTTCTCCTTCTACTTCATCTTCTCTTTATTTTCTTCATTTTTGTACATCCTTAATTTTATAAGAAATAAGTTTACAATATAAACGAGAAATAAATACGATAAAGAAGGAAAAAATTGTTATCTCTTTTATTAAAATTATTAATATTTAAATTATGTTAATTTTGTTAAATAGGAAATAGCATTTCTGAAAATGAAAAAAAAAAGAATTTTAATCTCAAAATTTAAAAAAACAAAGTCTAGTAAATAATTTTCTGATAATTTTTTGTATGAATGTGATAAAAGATTTATTATAAATCACAATTTTGGAAACAAACAACATTTACATTGATATATTTATAAAAAAAATTATAAGCTTTCAGAAATAAACTATTAAAATTGTCAAAAATTCATATCTAGTGAACGTCTTTATAAAAATAATTCGAAAAAAATCATGAAACTTTTCTTTTTACGGAATACACAAAGATAATGAAATTTGAGCCAAATCAAAAATGTCCATTTTCACAGTAGGTTGAGTTGGCATATGGAATATTCCATATATTAAACATGTATGTATATATACTTCTACGTCAAAATGAAATTCACACAGGTCTGCCAAAATGATCGAGCTGCTTCTGCACGATGACGTGTAAAAAAAAAGAAAAATGTGAGAGAGGAGACGGAGTGTGGGGTTGGGTGGGGGGAGGAGGGGGAAAGAAAAAGAAAATAAGAAATTTGAAATTCGACGACATCGCCTGTTCGACGGCGCACGTGCACCGTCGGATGCGCGTGCAATTTGATGCACGATCTCTCGAGAGTCCCCAGAAGAATTTCGATCGAATTTTTATAGCTCACAGAATCGAGGGCACGCTCAAAGCCGTCGTCCCGCCGATCGGACAGATAGGACTACGCATGTCGAAGAGAAAGAGATAGAAAAAAAAAGGAGCGAAGACCGAAAGACCAAGATAGGCCATCGACTTCTTCTCGTGACGTTTGAAAGCCAAATCGACTTTCAAAGCGATTCAAATCTCGCGCATTGGTTCGCATTCTCTAAAAGATGCACACCAGTCCAACATATATTATATTCTAAACGGCGAAATCGCCAATTCTTTCCTCCTTTTACAAGGGTATGCTGCATATTCTTTCGGGAAGAAATCTCGATGGAGTCAAGCGAACAAAGATGCACAAATACGATACGTACAGAATCCTGAAACCAACCGGTTCATTTACATTTCCGATCTTTTCCTCACTTTTGTCTTCTATCTTCGTTCTTCCCTAGTTTTAACACACTTTTTTTTCAAAGCATAATCAGTTCAAAGACTTTTACACATAGCTTCATCTTCCTGTCCTTATTGTTGAAAAAACTTTATAAATTATAAAAAAAAATTATTAAGCATATTCTTTTTCAATATTTCATATCAATATTAATTACCATGTTGCAGAATAAACGACTGTGATCACCATCGTACAATGTTTCCTCTATACTACCCATAATAATAATATCGCATAAAATTATATCGCATAAAATTATATCGTTTAATAAAAATTAATGTTTGGTCGATCGATGAGATTCTCACTCACCTATCTTTTATCCCCTTCATTTTCTGTAACAGTATCGTGAATTCGTGGTCACGAAACCGTTTATAACCATCCATAACTTGGATACTCGAAGATTAAGCGATTTTATGGTTTCGTGGAAAAAGTCGTTGTATTGAAGGTCTGCAGGATCTTGGAACGAAACGCACCTAAACGGTACTCGTATTCTTTGCTTCTTGGATCAGCTTCTTTTTTAAATATTATCATAATTGTACCACTGCAAAAAAAATATGGAATTGCTTATGCATGAGTTTCGAAAAGAGATTCAAGACAGCAGAAATGTATTAAATAAATTTCATACTTTTAAATATGACAAATTAGTAGATTTAACAACTAACTTATTTATTTGTAAATTAAGAAATGTATTTTATTAATTAAAAACACTCTGATAACGTGTTAATCAAAACAATTTTAAGTATAATACCTGAATCATATTAGAAATTTAATATGATTTGGGAATGTATGTTTCAAGTAGGATAAACATTAAACAATCTGATAGTGAGATAACTTAAAAAAGAAGATAATAACAAAAAAAAATAGAAAATAACGAATTATTAGTCACCGTTATTCTTGTGAACTTTTCGTATGTATGTACACAGTTATCCTTAAATCCTACCTCATTGACAGGAAATTCATAGTCAAGTATCTACACCATTTCACCACTTTTCAACCTTATGCCAAAAAAACTGTTGCTTTTTTGAGGATCATCGAATCATTTTCGTAAGAAGTGAAGCATTGCTCAACAAATGCATGTCCCATCGATGCAAATAAGTAGTAATCGGACGGAGCCAAATCTGTAAGTACACATGTTAAGTATTTCCTAACAGTGTGTGATGTCGTATTATTTTAAAATAAAATCACTTTGTGTTACTTTTTTTATATTTTGGTCGTTTTTTGCGCAAAGCTTAAAAAGCATTGATGCAATTCTGCAGCATTTTTTTTCAAATGGTAACATAAAATCAATGCTGTCCATAAATCGTAATTTCTAAGCATAATATTCGACATGTACAACGCTATTACAAAGCATGCTATTGTATGAAAATCTTTGTCTGAGATGTCAACAAGGAAATAGCACCAATGATGCAGTTTGACGATAACTACATTGACAGCTAGGACCATTTATGAGCAAATTCCAATTTCATATTTACAAACCTGGTTAGGAGTACCACGTTACATGCATACGGAATCTTTTTGTACTTATGTAGTTACTTAATAGGATCAGTAGAAAATATGTAAAACTTATACGACCAAATATATAAAGTGAAGGCATACAAAAACAAAATACTCGAAATGATACAATTATAAGAATAGATATGTCATTATGTACACGTTTATACAATATGCGTATCGTAAGATTTATTGTGATCTTGAATACTCGATAAAATACAAATAAAAGCGTTATGATGACGTATATGTATTAAAATATATCGTATATACGGTTTTTTTAAAATAATAATCGAGCAAATGAGAGAATGGCCGGCTCGCCGACCCTGACATTCGCAATGGTACTCTTGCAACTGTGTTGTTTATGCCGAACAGTGCAAATACATGGAAATAAACAATATATTTTTGTTGAAATTACATTCTTCAGTCGAGTGATCAAACAAATTCAAATTCCATTTCTTACCTTTTCTGTAACAAATGTCTAGATCATATCATCGATATACAATAAATGATTATAAAAAATACCATTATAATATCTTCGAGCGCTGTTACCCCGATTAAATGTTTAAATAATATTTTCAATTTATAATATTTCATCGAAGTTTTTCCTATGTAGCACACTGACCTCGATATTAGAGGATGAAAAAAACGTGTTGCGCATAAATACGAGAGTTCACATGAACTCGATTATCGAAAATAAAATATGCGTCGATGATGCGTTATTATTTTTTTATCATTTCTTATAATTGTATATAAGTGAAAAGAGGGAGTGAGTTCACTTAAAATAAGCATGAAAGAGGAGCAAGTTCAGCATATTATCTCTTTACGCATAGTTAACTACAAATCTACTTTGACTTTCTTATTCGATCATTCAAGCATATTTTTATTTTAATAACTGGTAATATAAAATTGAATATAACAAATCATACGATTGAATTGAAGTCCAATAAAAATTTATTGATTAACCGATTAAATATTCATTGCATATCTTACCGATAAATCAATATCTTCGTTAAAATATTTGATTCATCTTACCTGCCTGATCCTTTGTACATGAATAATTAATTGGAAGGTACGACAATCCTTGTCACTTCTAATATCCTACAGGCTAGGTTGTCAATTATTCTCATTAAGACGTTAGAATGTACGCGTAGTCGGTGATTAAAAATTAAAGCCTCTTCGGAAGGCTAAAGGATTTACCCATAATGAAGGTACCCACAGTGACGTTCAAAGTCACACCATTCGAGCTCGAACCACCATGAAGATGGTTTTCATTTACTTCACGGTATGTAAATTCTTGCTGTTGCAAATTATCATTATTAGAAAGAAAAAAAACAATTATTTGAACTTTTCGTTTAATCTATCTTTTTCAGTCATTATTTCTTATGATCCAAGCAGAAACTTGTTTACGCCTTTTAAACAATCAAGAAGAGAGCAGAATTTTAAAGAAAAGTCCAGGTCGCATTTGGAGATGGGATCGGATAGCAAATAACTTCGTACCACTGGAAACATTGAAATCGAACAACGGACTGTTGTGTAGCGTCGATTTCGTCAAGGACTTGACCATGAAATCGATCACGGTGGTTTCCGATTACGTGAGTGATCGAAAACAATTTCTTAAGTGAATCGAATGAAAATGGAAAAGGAACTACTTGTCGACTAGCCCTCTCATTTTCAGATGAATCCGTACATCATAATAAATTCAAATCAGAGCAGAGTTACAGGATTCATAGGGGACGTCTGGACGACTTTGGAAGAAACCTTAAAATTCACGTTCGTATATAAACCCCTTCATTACGAATTCGGTATTAAATTGGTTGGCAACTAGAAGAAATAAGTTTTCTTTTTGTTTTCTGCTAATTCAAGTCGATTAAAATCGTATTATTCGTTTCGATTCTTTCGTAACTTGGATAACTTTACTTCATTCACGCCCATTTTTCTTTAATTGTTAAGACCTTGTTGTTATCATTGTCAGCACGTAATCTCATAGAAATCTATTCGTCTGGTCACGCCTTTCACATTTTTTACCTGTTACTCTTCTTGTCGTTTTCATTCACAATTTGCATAGAGAGAGATAGAGAGAGAAAGAGAGAGAGAGAGTGAGGGGGTCAAACTGACACGACAACCTATCCGTACGTAGAATCTGCCCAATTTTCCGCGTACCACCCAGACGTGGAGTGTTGGGTCAAAATACTTGCATGATTCATTCGTCTAGACAGGTATAAGTATAGTATCACGCTTCGTGAAAGACGAAAAGAGAGAAAGAAAAGTGCTAACACCGTTGGGTGCGCTCACACCGTAATAAAAGTGTTTCTTCCTCGAAAATACAGGACGATTTACCGTAGAGCGGGACCGTCTGCTGGCTGGACGCTGATGAATGGTCGAGCTCACGCACTCTTGGAAACTACGGTGATTTACTCCTACACCTCCAGTTATTACACTTACAGCGTTCCAATCACGACCAACTAGTAAGTCGAAATAAAAATAAATTCATAAGTAACGTATACATATGCCCTTTTATTCTTATAAAAGCAACTAATGTTATGCGATTATTATTAACATTAATTTCTTTTTAATTTGATAATATATTGTGGAAAAAAATTGAAAGTTCTTATGAAGTATTGGTTATCCACAGTTATGCTCTATTCGTGCAATCCGAAGGTACAAGCGTTTCAACGTGGTGGTACGTTAGAATTTTCAGTTACGATCTATGGAGAATAATAGGATTATTTATTATATTTATCGTATTTATCATTATGGGAATTTATGCATTGAGAAAAACCGTCTACAGATTTTACGTTGAATGCGACAATGAATTCTCATCTCTTTCATTCGTCTTTCTTTACGTTTTAGGTGGTATAAGCGGTCAAGGTATAATATCAAATTTTATATATTGTTTTCAAAATCGATGTTTTTCTACAATATTTTTCTGCCATTGATATGTTTTCTTTATTCTAATAAAAAAAAAGGTTGTCAAAAAATTCCATCATGTTGGTCGTTACGTTTAATAATCCTGTCGTTTTTAATCATGGGAATGTTATTATTTTGTGGATTTAGTAGTACTCTAACTTCGTATCTAACGATCGGAATAACGTCCGTACCAATTACCAGTTTAGAAGATATTGCCAACAAACGTACTCATATTCTATGTGTGAGGAATGATAGTGGTGCTTATATTCATTTCACAGTGGTACTTATATACATAAATAGATGTTAAATGTGAGAAAGAAAAATATAACAAAATTTGTTTTATTTACATTATAGGACGGCATAAGAAATGAGGAATTATTGCCGGAATGGAAAAATCTAGTGAACAAGAATTGTCCTGATACAATGGACATACATACTATCAGCTCAAAACTTTGTAATCCTGGTTTTGTTTATTTAGAAGGTCCAGACATTTTTCTATCAATTTATCAACCAGTAATAAACCAATGTCGCTATGTACGATTACCTCAAGAATATTGGAGCTTAAAACTAGCTTTTCAACACGCCAGATCTTCGGAATATAGAAAAGTCATCGATTTATAGTGAGTTGTCTTTTTTATATTTACCTTTCTTTTTTTTCCTCGTTTATTTTTTCTTTTAAATATTTATAAAAATTCATTTTGATTTTTATTCATTAACTTCATTAATTGAACCCTTTAAAAATAATATTTAAAAACAACTAAAGGTAAAGTGTTACCTTTGTATTAAGGTATATATAAGTGTATACATACCTTTGTATTATGTTGTAGCTTAATCCGTCTTCGTTCGGTCGGTATATTAGATTACCTTGAAAAGAAATGGCTCAAAAGAGAATGGGACAACACTTTAGGACAATCTGAATGGACTGATTTTCGTGCAGTAGAATATGGTCATATACGTGTCGTTTTTTTAATACTTTCAATTGCTACTGTGTTTAGTGCATTAATATGCGTTGGTGAAAATATTTTTTACAAATGGCAAATACGATCACAAAGAAAAATTTCATGTGTTACTGGTCGGAAAATTTCAATCCCTCGATATTCTATCTTTTATCGACATCGACGAACAAAACGAACTCTTATCGCGAAAGAAAAGATATCTTTTTCACGAAAGACCAGTCGTAGAAAATCTTCGCATTATCGACGGTTATTCTATCTCGCGCTCTCCTCTATATCGATACAAAGTCGATAAGAAAAACGTAAATGATTTATTAATAGATAATATTTATTTAAATTTTTGGACATTTTTCTCAATGTTTACATATCATAGCCATTTTTAAAGATAAAGTAAATTAATCAAGCAAAAGTAGAAAAATGTTTTATATAAGGACATACATACATATATTTAAACAAAATGTTAACTAATAGAAATATAAATATAGTAACTTTTAAGAACATATAATTGAAGTCTAATTAAAGTCTAATTTTTTAAAAGTAACATTCTTCAATACAATAAGTTAATAAATATTATCGATAACAAATGTTCTACATTACCGATAGTATCATCGTGCCATTTTCTTCCATTTATGGCGTGATGCGGATGGATGTTTTTTTATTATAATTTATATACTTCAAACAAAATTAGACATAAGTTAATATTTTTATTTCTTTTTTAAAACTTGTATGGCAATGTACAAATATGGCTGAAAGTAAATGTGTGTATATGCATGTATGTATACATAACTTTTAGTGACCTTTTTTACCGACTAGAATCAACGATAATTAATTAAGCATAAAAATATCCTTGACATCCTGCTAACGTATTTGTAAGTTATGTCGCTGATCATACATACAATCTGCACCGAATATTAGATAAGTGATCATCGCTGCTCAAATAGAATAATTTACTATTTAGTAACTATCATCTTTCATCCAGTAATGTATCAACCACCATACCAAATATGCACCAACCGATAATCGTGGACGAGCCAAGAAGTATCATCATACTGTTTGATTATAGCTTCTTTTTTTTATTGTTTACAGTTATCATTTGTTCAATTTGGCTACCACGTAATCGATTATTGTTGTTCACTATAAACACCACCTATCGCCTATGGATTTATCGTTAGGTACTGTATTAATACTGTCTTATCAACTCTCTCGCAATTCGATCTGCTTACGGATAATTCTAACTTCTCGCAATATAAAATAATTTATTTCTTAAACAACTTCCGCATGTTATAGTTCTCTTTTCTCTATTAATCGATTGCGAAAAAATACTATTTGAAGAAAATAACAGTAAAGGAACTACTTATTTGGAACAAATCTATGAAAAATTGATCGATCTTATGATCATTGTTACTTGTTCTCTTCATAATGCATCCTACTTTTTAATTCTTGTCTAACGATGAGATAATTTGTGACGAACAACGATTTCTTCATAGTTTACTTCGAATTGATAAAATAATATTTTTTTTTTTTCGTGTAGACATTAAATCGATTTTTTTGCTACGAAGAAAAAATGCGTTATCATTGATAAACATACTATTTTGTTATTTCTTGTCTACTTTGACTTGCAATCATTCATATTTTACGCATGAAAAAATCGTATATTTGATTCGTTCAAACGCCGTATATCGAAATATACCTTTATAATGAAAACGCTTGAATAATACATGAAAAATATTTTTTTTTCTTTCAAATGTATCTATAATCTCTTTACGATGTTAATCTCCAAATTCTTCCAATATCACCAAATTGTCTAACCTCGATCTTATACTTTATATTAGATAAGTATTCTTAGCTTTATACATAAAATAAATTTCTTAAATATAATACTAGATCCTGCCTGCCAAAATTATGGCACCATAATGGTATGTCTCTTCCTCGGTCCATCGACAACATCGATCGTTGGGTCTAATCGAGAGCAAGCGTATCTCAAACAAAAATTAATCAATATTCTTCATTGAAGAAAAGTGAAAGAAGAAAAGAAATAACCAAAATAAATAAAATGTACACGATTGTAAAAGCCACAAAAGATCACGCAAGTAGTATACGCGATACATAGTAAAAATATAACAATATTAAAAATAATTTCATTTGTAAAACAGTAGAATTTAAAAAGTCCATTTGTCGAGTGTTGTAATGCACCGAGAATTATTTCAAGTATAAAAGTGAAAAAGGATCTGTTTTCGTTTGATAAACCTTCTTGGATTGATTTCATCTCGATCGTTGATCTCGATGAACCGTGGACGAAAATGCATTGATAAGTAAAATGTTTGAGAAATATTCGAGCTAACAATGCAATTCTCAAACATAATCCAATTAAAAAGAGCTAATAATTCGTTAAAGTGGTTCTAAGCCAATTTTCAACTATCTCAAGTTTTTAAACTATCTCGAGTCCATAATGAAATTCGCAAAGAACCAATATTACATGAATACTACTCGATACATTCGAATCGTTGAATCGATTAGTCGCAAGACACTTTGCGGAAAAAAATTATTATTATTATTATTATTATTATTATTGTTATTATTATAATTCGTCGACTTTCGACTAATCAACAGTTACTTATTAGGCATTCGATCGTCTTATCTCCTTGTAGCCAATCAACGATTCAAAAGGATCGGAATACTATTGGACGAATTTAATTCGCATGGAAATAGTAGTAACCATCTTCAAATACAGATAATTATTGTAAGCCGTATAAACAGAGCCAAGCTCATTGTTCGTCATCCATTTGTACTGACGTACATACATAGATAAATATATACAAGGAGTTACAAGAGTATTCGTACCCCCACTGTCAATTTAAAACAATCAATATTTTCTTGTAATACAATATTTCTAAATTATTATGCACAGATAAATATTTTTGGATAATTTAACTTTTAAATTGATATGCAAAAGAGCATTTTATTATAGCTTATAAAATGCTAGAAAAAGTTAACCAAATATTAATTAAAAACATAATAATTCTTTTTTTATTATGTTTTATGTAGTAAAATTATATTTTTCTAACAATAAAACGTATTCTGTAATTAATATCCTAAAATATGTTTCTATGCAAAGGAATTTTGAAAGTTTACATTACATAAGTAAACATTAATTATTTCCAATTTACCGTGGGAGCGGAGACGAATACTCTTGTGATTCACTGTATACGTTTCAAGATGCATATTTACATATATTTTAAGATCATAAAATTTTCCGTTATTTTTAACGTTTCTTTCGAGACCGCTCGTAACTTTCTCGTTGAAAACTTTTGGAAAAAAAGAACGATCGGCCTTATTATCGATGATTCTGACGGTGATACTAGTAACTCACAAGTTCATTGAATTCACGTTAAGACGAATTCTTCGTCGACTGACATTTAAAGAGATTTTTCTAAAAGGAAGTTCGACGATCTATTCGCACGGTGTTACATACAACAAGGATATTCCATCAAACAAGATAGATGTTAAACCGCTTCTAACTCCAATACGTTACCAAACCTCGCATTTCGATTCCGGATTCATTCTTGAACCTACAGGGCAATTGAACTCAGTTGAAAACTCAGCCATGTTTGACAGAGGACCTATCACTCTATATTTCGGTGGACAATGAGAATCCTTTTCAATTTGAAGGGCTGTCAACTCAGAAGTTTCAGCAGAACACCACACCTGTAGACAAAATTGTAATTGATTGAAACTGATTGAAAACATTTTAAATATAGTGACCGAAAAAATAATTTACTTATATATATTATATTAAAATACAATTATTCTTTATAAAATTTTTTTGTAAGATCTTTCCAATCTAAAGTAATATATATTGTTTAATATATTGTAAGCCATGGAGATGTAATGGTGGAACAATAAAATAAAATAAGTAAATGTAATTCAAACGCCATATTGGAAATTACTCAAACTATACGCTCACGATGATAGTAATTCATGTACGAGCATATTCTCGAAAATTATTCGTTTCTTACCTGGGCGAAATTGATAAAAAACAATTGACGATGCGTTAGGTTGAGACCAGGTAATGGCAATTGTTCCTTTTCGTTTTTAACTGTTGCTAAATAAGCGTGATACGCTGCCTTAAGTCCACCATTGTCAGCAATGTTTTCTCCTAAAAATAAAAAAAAAGCAAAAACATGTGATATGTATATATATTTGATAATATATAATACGCGAAAACATTTTATGTTTCATACAAACGATAAGTATCCGTAAGTATCAAAAATTACCTAAAGTTTGACGTCCATTCACGTGGCGACCTTGCACCTCATACATATTGTACTGCTCTACAAAGCATTCCGTTCTATTATTGAACCTCTCTATTGTATCGTTGTTCCACCATCTATTCAGATTACCATGTAAGTCGTATTCTCTACCTGAAATTTTTAATTTAATATTACTTTATTATTACTTTATAAATAAATTTAAATTTATTACAAAGGCATCGAATTAACTGCTACACCTAATAAAAGTGCTTTAAATGTACAATTGATATAATCAATTAAAATAAATGTTCACCTTGATCATCGAAAGCATGAGTGAGTTCATGACCCATTACAACACCAATACCACCATAATTAAGGCTATCAGTATTTTGCATGTCGTAAAAAGGACTCTGAAGAATTCCAGCGGGAAATACTATTTGATTTTTCGTTGGGGTGTAATAAGCATTCACCATCGATGGGGACATAATCCAAGCAGTTTTATTTACAGTTTGATCAAGTTTTTCGAGAGCCTTTTTTAATGTGTACTTGCTCACTCTTATGTTATTTTGGAAGTATTCGTTTGGTTTAATTAATAGATCCCTATATCGCTCATCAAGATCACTAGGGTTCAAAATAAAATCTGGAAAACCGATCATATCGGTAATCGCATTAGCCTTTTCCTCTGCTGCCTTCCTTGTTTCTGCATCCATCCATTGAAGATTTTTCAAATTCTTTGTAAATGCTCGACGTATTTCATCGATCATTTGTTCTGCCTAAAATTCATCATTGAAGTTGTTTACCGATTGCTTCAATTTTTAAATAACTTTTTTCGTGATTTAGAAAATTGCTTCGTTTATATATAATTTATATAATCACATCATTTATAATTATAATAATAGTAATCGCATTTGATGAAAACGAACCATAGGTTTGCTTTTCCCATGAAACACTTCCCTAACGAACATAGCTCCAACCGCAAATCCCATCTGAGTATTTGTATCAGTAACACAATAGCGCCATTGCTCTTCCCTTCCTTCTGAACCGACAAGAGCCTTCCTCAGGACCTTGTAAGCATCGCGAAATGGCTTCGAAAGAAACACCGTCAGGGACCTCACGGTCTGCCAAACCAGATAGTTATTCAGTATTCTGCGGAAAAAAAAGGTAGAGAAGGATGGCAATACAAAAAGTAGTATGTCTCGAATCGCGTTCCCCCTTTTTTGAATAATGTTCAGCTAAGCTTTTGCTAATCGTGTATTTTAACAGCGTATTTTTCCTTGGATTAATTTTTTTAAGCTCTTATGCAAACTTTCTAATCAATGTTCGGATAAAATAACATTTAGAAAAGAAGTCTTCATATACGTACATTTTTTTTTCATTCGTTTTATTGTATTCGTGCACCAGGTCCGTCAATTTAGCGAAATAGTCAGGGGCAAAATTAACGATCATCGCTTTGCTATTAATCTTCTTGTTGACTATACGCGTGGCGTTTTGGAAGAAGTCCACCCATGACATCTGACGCAGTATATACGTTCGCCGTTAGATTTTGAAGCTCTACGTTATCAAGCTAAAAAATCTTACTCACGAAATTTGCTTTGCGTTGTAAGTCGCTCAACGACATTAAATGATAAAGCTTCTCCTCATCTCGACGTTCCTCCTGAGGCGTCGTAATATTCGCCAATCTTGTCTCAAAAGCTATCACATCTTGCATCTGTCGTCTCGTCGAATTCTCCTCTCCTCCAAGTAATACGCCTATCTGCAAACAAATATCTTTATTGAATTTGGTCAAAACATCTTTTATTGTATTTACAAGAACGATTACGTACCTTCGTCATGTACTCTAAGTAAGCCGACAATACTTTACCATGCTCGGTAACATTCAAATAATTATCAGCCGTTGGTAAAGTGAGTCCACCTTGATCAATCTTTAAAATAAGAAAAAAAAAGCAAAGAAAAATTGTTCAATATAAACAAATTATAAAAACGAATGTTTCTCGTCAATCATCTTATATAATGCTACCTGAATAATGTATCTGCTACTATTACGATCATCCTCGTTTACCGCCCAAGAAAACAATCCGCCCATGTTATAAACATTTTGTAATATATGCATACTATTCTGTAAAGACCAACGTTCGATGCTAAAGTTCCCAGAAATATTCCAACCGCCGATAGTATCCAAAAGATCAAGCAAAGGTTGAGCTCCATAAGCCTCGACGGTTTCATTAGCGTCCATACAAGACAGATAATAATTCTTAGCTTTTCTCTCAGCTTTAGATTTCATTTCGCTAAAAGGCTTCTCTAAAAAATTGAATTCGTTAGCAAATAATATTTACTTTACTATACTCGGTCATATTAATCGATAAATTTAATGTTGAAGTTAAATTACCGAGAACGTTTTTAATCACAAGTTGATTTTGCTGCTCCATATTTCCAAATATTCCCCATGTGCTTTTCCCATCTGGCATAGGATTTTTTTTTATCCAACCGCCACAGGCATACTCGTAAAAATCGTCGCATGGTTTCACGGAATGATCTATACTGTTTATAATCGTCGCCGCTACTGTTACGCAGTGTTCCGTGAGACAATAACTAGCATCTATATTATATAAATTAATTAGAATCTATCATTTCGAAGAATAATAAACCAATCAATTCATTATAAATTTCTTTCTTATTTACGTAATGTTAGATCACGTTTATTTAATAGAAATGTATTCATTGAAGAAGAAAATACAAGTTTTCTCTCATACATTAATTGAACACAATCAAAATTTTCTAATAATAATAAAAATAATAATAATAATAATAATAATATCTTACTTTCATCGTGAAATCCAAGGTGTACGTATTGTCCTTTGTTCCAGCCGCTTTTACCGCTGATTACTATTGACAGTACCGTTACCATCAATAGCAGACAAGTACATATTATAAAAAGACATTTTTCTAAGGTATTTCTTGCTCTCCATAATGTTGTACCCTACATATCGATAAACAAATAATTAAGAAACAAGATAAGAAATACTGAATTATATATAATCAAATTTTATAATAATTCGATCGCAAAAAAATATTAAGAATTCGCTGGCTTGGCCTTTATCATTTTAATGTTTTCTTCTTCCATGATGAAATCGACAAATATAGAACGAAGAATATAGAAAGAGCGATTACATCATTTTCACAGCATATAAATTATTCAATATCCATTTTTAATTCGATGCTAAATTGTAATTTATAATAAAAACAATGTTTTAAAACTTCACTATTTTTGTTAACGTCCAATTTATATTCTATGATCTCTTACAGTATTCTCTCTCTCTTGCGAGTATCTTCAGTATATATATATGTATCATACAATAATCATTTTTATTATCACCAAACTTACCGAATAATACCTAATGTGAGTGGCTGAAGTACTGATGCCTTCACTATTTAATGCCACAGAGCCAATGCTGCTGCTATCCTCGTCCTCGAACTCAGCTTGTTTATACCTCGTCATCTAAAAGAATTTAAATACGTAAGTACACAACGTAATCGACGATTCTTCGGTTCCATGCTAACCGAATATTTAATTCCATAAAAAAAATAACTTTTATACAGGGCGACTTCGTATTAGTAAACTACCGCGTAAATACTTGAAAATTTAAAAAACAAATAAATAAAAAGAAAATAAATGAAAAGTACTTGAGATTCAATAGAAAGATTTTAATGGTAGAAAAAATATAAAGATGTTCTTTCAGAGCTTTAGTACTTCATCTTTGATGATGAACGCAAATCCTGTGAACAGAGATAAGCGCAAAATCCGTAGTTCCATCTTAAAATAGAACGATCGTTATTAGAAATAATACGTTTGAGATTTCTCAATACTTCTACTAATGTAAACTCGAGACACAAAACACTTTGCTGAGTAAAAATAGAGAAAGATACAAAAATACGATTCAATCGTTTCGTGAATAAATATTACTTCTTCATCAATTCAGGTTGAGAAATGCTAGTACAATTAATTTTTGACGAAGAGTAATAGAAATCATAAAAAAATAAAGAAACAGAAAAGCAAATAACTTATAAAATGGAATTTATTTGCCATACGAACATGATTAGTTGAATGAAGGTAAGAACATTTCAAATTTGTTCCTTATTTTTTTATGAATGTTTATAAGCTGTTAAAAAAACACGATGATGCCGACGAAGATACCGATTATGTAGTTAAACCACATACGGCGTTTGGGCTTTTGGCAGTTCACGAAAACGCCGAATTTACAGCGACTTGATCTAATTTAAACGTAGTCTAAAAATATAAATCTCTGTATCTGCTGTAACATGTACGAGCTCGAAGTACCCTATGGGACGCGTCGTACTTTTCTGTATTGTTCATTGTTCAAGTATTATACTATATAGCAAAGTTCATTAAAAAACACTTTATAATTCAAATCAAGTACCGATTCGAGAGCATGATAAGTTTATCTATCATCTTATTCAATTTATAAAAAGATAAATATATTTTATAATGTATATAATTCTATAAAGAAATATAATATAATAAGTATTATAATATATTAGCATTAAGTACTTCGTAAAATACGTTAATTCGCGAAATAGCTAACTAAACCATGAAATAATTATATTAACCTATTTCAATATGAAAGAAAGCAGAATTAAATACACCAATTAGGTAATATATAAATTTACAAGGAGCAAGTAGTTAAAGTATAAAATTAAATTTTGATCCGTAAAATAGATCCGATAAAACAGCAAAACTAACATAACATTAGTTTTCTAAATACAGAAAAAGATAATTAGCATTATTGTAAAAAAAAGGATCAAATGTTAATCTCACATTTAAGCTACTTGGCTCTCGTGAATTTATATTTTATTGAATTATTTAATAAAATAATTTGTTGAAGAGTATATAACAAAATTCGTTATGTATGCTTTTTCAAAAATGCCTAGATATTTTAAAAAAAGCAATGGTTTCCATAATTTAGTGGTAATATATACATAATATCGTATCATCAGTACGTAAGCTTCACTAAAAGCCCTCGCTATTTCGATGAATTATTTCTTTTTTCTTCGTATGTAGAAATTATTTTGAACCGCTCTAAAAAGTATTCTTTCTACTCATATGTATGAAAATAATTAACCAATATGTATTTAAATACGTAAACTTATACATTTATGAACGTACGTATATAAAATCAGAATATAATAATATACGATATTTCATGTTTTATTTTTTCAAAAAATCAGTTTTACCTTGTTTAAATATGCATCAAAAAAACTATTTCACAACGATTGATTGAACAATAAAATAAAACAAAAGAGCTGTCGCTATAGGAAATACACTAGAATACAACAGAGATAATTACGAAGACAATTTTCTATTAGACGTGATAGTATTCTACGATGTGCTTGGTTGAATATATTCTCGACGTAGTTACATTGTCAGCGTCGACTAAACAAACGAATGAACCATGACACAGTTTTATGTGTTACAAAAAAAAATAGTAAATATGATTAAAAAAAAAAATATCAAACAACAGAGATGTACCTCTTCGCAAGCAAAGTAACGAATTGGATATGTGTATGTATCATATATGTATTTTTACTGTAATTTTTCACGCATATCCTTATACTCTAAAAATATACAAGTTTACCCTCTCTATATTTATATTGATAATCTCGTAAAACTTTTTATCTAACAAGAATCTTTGTATCGGTGAAAAGAGTATAAGACCTTTTAATATTAAACTTTGATTTTACTTATAAACGTGTTATCTCGAAGCAACGCTCTACGCTTAAGCAAAATTAATTTTGCAAGAACTCATTCGAATGGTCGATACGCGACTCGTTATCGCCCGTCGCCCATGGACACTGTTAAAATAGATAGTAAATAAAAATTATATCTAATGATATCAAGTATTGATGTTACAGAAAAACAACATCGAATTAAATAGAGGATAATGCAATGCATAAGAAATCGCATTACTATGATTATCTTATCGTTCTTACTATAAATCTTATTCTTATCGAGATCTCTAGATAAAATTTAAGCTTGTGTTCTTTTCAATGCAATTTTTCTATGTATATTTTTTTATAATCATATCAAATATTATTCTAAATAAAATATATGATTTGAGTGCTATCTCTCTTGAAGAATTCAATCGAGCGATTCTTAATTTGTTCTAAAAAGAAAATCTTTCATAAATTTAATTAATAATATTTAAACGAATATGAGCTTATCGTTTGTAATGTTTAACCTCTGCCTTTTCAAGTCCTTCAAATGATACTTGGTTCATTTCGTTTTAATAATTGTTTGTTAAATATAACGGATGCTATCTTGAACGAAATATCTGCGATTAATGACTAAATTTAAATTTGAAACTGTTGTTTCGAAAAGTACTCTATCGTAAAACATTCTGCTCGCGTAGTACATAGATGAAGATAAAAGAGATCAAAATGAAATCTTTAATTATAACTTTTTAATAAAAAAAAATGTAAAACTAAGCAATATTTTGTTTTAAGACTCGATAAATAAATAATTACATCGAAAAAAGTTTCCTAAAATTGTATAAGCTATTTTAGAAAAAAAAAATATCGAACAAAAAATAACTTTCGAATTGGCAAAAACTGATAACCTTTTACCATGTGCACGATGATCTAAATGTTCTAATTAAATTCGTAATGTAATAAGAACCTTTTAGTTACAGAAATCGGTGCACATCATAATAAAACTAGAATGAATCAAACACGATGTTGATGATAAATCGATAATATTGAAGAAAATAACAAACGAGTTTTACAGAAGACACAAACGACCAAACGAACACTTTACTACATTTTGTTTTCAAATGCCCGCGAAAATAGTTTAACGTTTACAATCGACAAACTGACCGACCGTATCTAGGACCGAAAATGTATAGAAGCTAACGCGCTCGATGTTTAAACGACAACTGTGTGACGAGCATCGAACGACGACACACGCACATCGCGTGCGTGCGAGCGCGAGATTCAATGCAGTCGCGCACGCGCCGCAAAAGAGCACGCGTGTCTTCATTGCTTGCGTGGGTTAGTGCATTAAATATATGCGTATAAAACCACCCGCTATTTTCTTCCTTCTAGCCTATATTTGTATACATACGTGCACATATGTATGCAAGTATTTTGCAGCAAGCAGGAAACGGACACTTGTGGCACCCGTTAATGTCATTACGGTATTTTGTACTTTGATATATGTATTTATGCTATCAAGTATATTTCGTACGTTCCTCTTAAATTCAATTAAATTTACGAATGGTAAAGAAAGAGGCAGGGAGAAAGAGATAGATAGGGAGAGAGAGAGAGAGAGAAAAAAAAGTGGGAGCATTGAAATAATGACGCTAATCGATAACGTTCGAGATGCGTAACGTTATATCTACTGTTTTAGAATAACTTAAATGAGTCAAATAAATTGATGATAATAAATAAGACGTTCTTTTTGTAAAGGAAGAATCAAATAACGAGAAATTGGATTTCACGAAGGTTTATGAAATTTTAACGTTGAATAGGCGAAATATTCTATTGAATAGTAAGATATTTTAAATCCGCTAATTTGTACATAAACATTTGACAGATTGAAGAAGAAAAGAAACTTCTATACACATACATATTTATCTGTTTAAAGAAATTGACGTGCCGCAAATTAGACCATTTGCGTCTAGTAATAAAATGAATTTAAACGTGACTACTTTGTGTAGTCACTTGAATAGTGATGTAGGGCATTATTTAATACGATTGTCGAAGTTAATGCGATCGAGGCACGAAACGACATATAAAGTCTTCGTTTGATTAGAACACAAGTAATGGTACCTTTAATATTTTAAGACAATTTATATAAAAAAAAAATTACGAACATTAAAAAATAATACATTACTTATTCTTAAAGTTTAATTTTATAAATTCGTCCGTGTGAGTGTAAATAATAATTTTCTGAATATAAACTTTCTTTAATATCCCTATAAACTTATATGTTTGCATACAATTGACAAAATCAATAATTTAAAAGTAACAACAGATTTGTCAATATATATACCAACAAATACTCTCGAACATATGTTCATGATTTTCAATGCCTGCGAGAAAAGCATATATGTATATACACATACCGAGTCACTATTTGTTACGTAAGCATTTTATTATTTACAGAAGAAAAATAATGTAAAAATGATGAAAATTAAGAAACAGAAAAACAATCCATGGATATTGTCATACGAAAAGATGTAATATCCTCTACGAGAGTATCTTTATTCGAAGACTCATAAAAGCATAATCGAACTGACACATTATCTAAGTAAAAGCGCGCGAACCTTGAAAAAGAATAAAACCATATCGACTCTAAGAAAATAAATAGAAATAGATAAAATGTATAAAACGTCGAACCAATATCAGGTAATATACAAGATTGAAAAAAAAACGATTGTATAAACTTATTCGATAGAGTCGACTCGTCCATTCCTTTGACATGACCAAAAGATAAGAAAGATTTTTCGAGGAAAATGTTGACTTCGATGAAGTTCGTTACGAGTGTTAAAGATCCTTCAGGACTCACCTTAACCGACATCTTGAACTAACACGATCGCGCAATCACCACACTTTGTCACTTTAATTATTGATTCACCATTGGGGGTTGAACGACGAGGCAAGCGAGCGAACGAGCGAGATGGAAAGATACGTAGGTAGGATAGATAGATAAATAGGAGAGAGAGAGAGAAGGAGTAAGGGGGAGGTAGAGAAAGGAGATAGGCAGGTAAAGGGAAAGATTCAATTGAAGAACGTAAGAAACGAAAATAGGGTGAATAGAACGAGGACAGGATCAAGAATTAGGGTAAAGAAAAATTACGTCCGAGATATCCGACTTTTCAACGGTTATGACATCTCTCTTTGCCAATGTGGCCGCGAAACCGTACGCGTCTCGCTTTTGACGGCTGTTCGACGACCTGCATGGGGGATGCTTTTACGATAGCAGCACCAGCAACACCACCTCCACCACTGCCGTCGCTACTAACAACGAATCGCCCTCTATCGCGATCTCTCTCTCTCTCTCTCTCTCTCTTTATTTCTCTATATTGATTTCTAGATAGGTGCTCGTTACACCAGAATAGCCATCTTTTACGAGAAAGACATTCATGTAAATTCTCGCGAATGCTATTCAGGATAACGATTACGTACAACGTTTTACATCTTAGAAAAGATCTACTGAAAATCCGTCGATTAAATTGGCCGATAATGATAACAAAAATAAACTTATTATTAGAATAATATTTTGGGGGAGAGAAAGGGGGTGGTGATGGAATAAATACGTGGTAATAATCAGATCAGAATGATATTCGACGTTGAAAATTGAAAGAATTCATGTTTACGCTGATTCAATTATTTTCCAATAATTATATCTTTTCATGAATGTTATTCTTTCCATTTGATATCATAATTATTTAACGTATTACCATAATATAATCAACGTCGAAATTCTCTCAAAAAGGATTCAAAATCAAAACATGATAAATAAATATACATATTATATAAATGTACTACACGTACGCATGGGCGCGCGTACATGTAATTTGATATCTTTTTTTTTCCTTTTTTATGTGAATAAATATTCCATGTTTTTATTTCATGAAGACGTCCTTCCATGTTAGGTACAATATTTGCTTCATTTAATTTCCTTTTATTTTTTTATTTATTTCGCTTATCTTCTTTTCAAATTCTTCTTACTCATAATACACTTTCTCCGCGTAAAACATCACGCGATTTTTGTACGTTACGATGAAGAGGATCGTCACGGATCTAGATTTATTGTTAGTTTTTCTTTCGTTTTTTTTTCTTTTTCTTTATCTTTTTTAAAGCTATCATTATAACACGTAGTTTACGCACGCACACAAAATATAGTAATACTGGAAATCTCTAAGGATCCGCGGCCAAATTCGAGGCACCGCACAGTGGTCCCAAATTCCGAAAATCTGGTCAAAATAACAGATAATATTTTTTCTGAGCTTTTTTCAATCATTTTTTATGGATAAGTGCTTATGCACGTTTGTAAAATGCAGTTCAAACATGAATATCGAACGCATTACACATCTAACTCACTGCTTCCAGAAAATTACGATCATTTTAAACAAGCAAAATGAAATTAATATTTGATCGATTTCAAAGTATAAATATAGAATATTCGCTTGAAAATAAATACAATTAAATTGTTTTTAAAAATTTACATAAATAACAAATGTAATAGCAAATAATAATAATAATTTTAGAAAAAATATTGCTAAATGTTTTTCGCTGATGTGATATTAAAAATATCTATTTAAAGAACTCTCTAATTGTAATTTAAAACCCAAAAAACACCACATTGACTTTAAATTATTTATTGAATATTTACCTAATAAATATTTAAAATTTAGCTACCAATAGCTCCCAATTTAGCTTATGTCCATAATTTTTTACCGTAATGCACAAACATATTTGTAACAATGGTATACTTTATACTCTACTTTATATAATTATGAATAAATATAACTACAAATGAATATAATATAAACAAATAAATAAATAATTAAAAAAAAACATTTGTAAACATTAAAATTGTTAACATTTAACATTTATTTTTTTGTTTCTAAACATTTCTTATTTACTTTCAGTGATAATGACATCCAAATTATCCTCAAATTTAGTATCTGCCATTTTGTTTTTCAAAAATAGATTATCAGATTCATAATCAGAGTCCACGAAAGCTTCTAAATTCTTATTTTCAAAAAAATTAAACTACATCTTCATATTTTGGTCCCATTTTCTGAATTTGGACACACTGTGCGCCATATGCGATTACGCAAATATACTTTTTCCACGCACATATACCTCGCAAGGGCCATTGAATAAACCCATTTTAATAAATTAGAATCGATTACAAAAAATAGTGTATGTATATTTCATATCTATGTGTAACACACGCATATATATACTTTTGCATGCATGTTTGTGTATTTATATATGTACGAGGGTGGGTAAAAAAGTTTTGAACCTCAGCAAAAAAAGAACTTTTACTTTTCTTTCTTTAATAAAAGTATTTGACCGAAAGAATATCTTTTTATATTATTTTCAATATTTTTTAACCCACCCACGTATTTATTTATCTGTCCATATGCGTGTATATATATCATTTTATATCCGCTTTTTTTATATTTGCAAAAATGAGAGCTCTGTTTTCATCTCATCTTAACTGATACATTCTTATCTAAACAAACTTGATGCTATTGGCACGTATGTACGCTTATCTTGGACCGCTATTACGTACAAGAAGTTAAAGTTACAGACGGTGGCACGTCATAGCGTTTCCTTTTTCTTTTTTATTTTTCCTTCTTCTTTAAAAAGTATTGCTCTTATTTCACTTTTTATGTTCCGTTTTGAAATCTCATTGAGAAAAACAAAACACGTCGGAACGTGGCACTGTAGAAGCCGACTTTCTGGCATCGCTCAATATACACACATAATACATTATTCCCTGATGGACGTCGTAATAATTATTTTATTATAGCGTACCTCGTATTAATATATAAAGTGTTTCAATTAATTCGGTGCCTTGATATTAAATTCATTACATCAAAATCGCCATCTTTGAAAAATGGACATCAAAAATAATGAAGACTTTTCGAAAAGTAACAGATGTATTACTTTATAAATAAATTCTAAATTTGTTTAAAAAGCACCGAATTAATTGCTACACTATTATATGTATATATAATAAAATAATTAATTTTAGATTTTACTCTTCAGCAGTAATACATGATAATCATTACGTTAACCTTGCACAATCGCATGTTTATTGTGATCTTATATAGATTAGGATCTCATAAGGATGTGTAAGCGAGTAAGAAATAGAACGTGCGTTATTTTAATATAAGAAAACGTACTTGGGTCTGTACAATCGATCGAATAATAATCGTCATCTCTTCACCTTTGTCTCAATCATATTCTGTTCTTAGTTTCTACATAGATACGCACAATTATTTGTTATTGGAAGCTTTCTTCGATATTAGCTTCTCGTATCGTCGTTATGCGTCATATTACATATAATAACGTAAGCAAACTAGAAATCCTTTTTTTAAAATACGATTTAACGTTTCAATACTCCGATAATTGATTGTTTAATGTGCTCTCCTTACTCCTTAATACTAAGACTGAAATAACGTGCATTATTGATAAAGACTAAACTCTCGTATGGAGCCCGATTAGAAACGCAGCATTTACCCATCATCGACATCTATAAATATTAATATAATATAATATAATGTATATAAATATATATATATATATATATATATATATATATATATATATATATATTATTTTTTGTTGCTTCTTATTAAAAAATATGACAAGATAGTTATTGTAAATTATCCTATGGATTCAAACATTACATATGTATAATATTTAAAATTTATCTGTTTCGTAAAGTGTAATGACGTGTGCAAAGATGAAGATTAGAAAATGACGTTTATCACATCGAAGTAGAATGTGAAATGGATTGAATATAAGATCGACATTGATTCTTTTTTTGTTTTCTCCATTTTGTGCGTAAATTGAATAAATAATTATCAATTTTAAAATACAGAAACTCCGCATACTCGATAGAACATGATATGTTACGTAAAGAACTACCACCACGAACGAAAATGTTTTCTAGATTATTTACAACACAATTACTCATTATCGCAATGAGATATGAAATTAAGAAAATAAAACAACAATTTACTATTAAGCAAGTCATAAATGGGCTTATAAAAAAAAAGATTGTACGTAGCTTATTAATTCGGACTGATCTTATATATCACTACGGACAGTGGTCCCATATATATATAAGGTAAATCGTAAAGACAAATGTTCGTATTGGAAAGCCAATAAAGTCATGACTCAAATTGTTCACATCTTTCATCAGAAAAGAAACTATATCGACAACATGTTTCATGTATTAGACGTTTAGTATGTATGTATATATGTATGTACTTATACATGTATGTCTATACACAATATGTATACATACATAAATACTTATGCACTGGATTACCCTCCAAGCACAAAGTAAAATACATATGTAAGAATAAATTTACATCTTAAAGTCAGATAATTTAAGCTTATAATTTTTAATGCCGAAATTTAGGAATAGTAAGAAAAGATGTATACTCTCGATTATAAAGAGAAAAAGATAATAGGGAAAGAGGGAAAGGACAGAGACAAATAGACAAGCAATGAAAAACAAGTTGGACATTGAACTTCTGTTGAGAAACATGGGAACTGGTCTGGCCAAATAGAAGATTTTTTAGAGCTATAAAGTGTTTTAAAAGGTTACCGACAAATTTTAGCAAAAGGGTCAAACTAGAACAACTTTCGACTATTAAACCACGTTTTTCCAAATTAATCTCAGTCAGTAGAAGCTTTTTTAAGCAAGAACTATATTTAGATGATTATTCTTTCGCATAAATAATTATTTTTTATATATCTCCTCTTGGATAGCGGCTATCCGAATTTGTCATGGAAGACCTAAATATATGATGCAATGTACGCAATTAACGCACTCCCTCGAGATACTAGTAAACTGCTAAAAATGTATTAGATGATGTTTGTTCAGAAATTGTTCTCGGTACAGGCGTTCAATTTCATATGTATCTTTAGCGACTGTTCCGTAGATAAAATGCATATCTCAAAATTTTTTTATAAATATATAGTACCATACTGTATACATCAATAGGAGAAAGCAATTATCTTTAACTTAATAACAAGAATAGCCCACGAGCCTTTACACTCACGATTAATAAACACGCGTTAACAAATAAAAAAACAACTTATTAGTTTACTAAATAATACATACTCTATATAAAGAGCTTTATCTACTCTATCAATAACCAAAGAAGTGCCGCTTCATAATATTTGAAATATAAAAGCTTACATTCTTAACAATTAGTCTTTTACTAACCCATAATTGCTTTGAATAAATTTTTATTTGAAAGTTGCTCTATTTCTCCATATGCTACTTAAATTTGCCAGTAACCTTTCGAAACACACCGTATACGTCACACAGCCAGTAATATAGGATAACAAGAATATAAATATATTTATGCATATGCTTCAAAATGAAAGTATTCCAAAAATTTGTTCCAAAAAATTAATAAAAATATTATGTTTTCAAGTGACACAAGGTTTTTGTGAGTAGCAAATTTTACGAAAGTTTAAATTACAGTAAAGTATCATAATCTAGAGTTAAATATTTAACGATAAACTGAATAAAACTGTAAAATAAAAAACTAAATGAGAAATCTATCGATAATAAAATCTAAAAATATTAGCAACAAGAAAAATCATCAATTAAGACTATATTACATGAGTTGTTACGAAGTTACATGAATTTTTAGGAAAATGAAGAGAAATGCGAAACGTTTCCGCATTATCCCAGTAGATATATAGAACATATATACTTAATTTAAATAATTGAAAATCATATTCGAAGATCATATCTATTTTATCGGCACGTGAGACGTAAGTGACTCCTATGAATGGCTTCAACATGTGCCTCCTTTTTTTCTAACTGGAGGACGGATTGATCAGACACGACGAACAACATATACATGAATAAGCGATCGATTGACAAGGAATCATTAATCAGAGCACGAATAAAAAGGGACGCAGTATTTAATCTAACGACTTCGATCTGTCTAATCTACGTTTACTTTCAAAATCAGAGTCGGCGTTCGTTCTCGTCGCGTCGAAATGTCTCGCGGCGGAAACGAAAGACCCCGCTATCACATTATTGGATGGATTTGATTGAGGACTTGTAGCGACGTCCGTGAGAACGCGTTTTACAAAATTTTGTTTCCTTTTTGTTTTCTCAGACAAAGCAAAAGTCGTTCGCACGAAGGTCCTTTCGTGAGAACCTAAAGAGTCTCTGGCTTCCTCTTCCTCGTCGTCCTCCTCTCCTCTTTCTTCTTCAGCCTGCTCATCCACATCGTGTTTCGAACCGGTGGCATATTTACCGACGAATTTAAATAATCCACCAGAGTTATTTCGACCAGCTTCGATCTCATCCGGTTTCTCCGTTATACTTGAATGAACGGCCGAGAAAAATTCATCTAAGTCGTCATCTTTCATATTCTCCTTCCATACTTGCTGACGGTACTTTCCGTATCTTTCGTTCGATGGACACTTCTCAAGCTTCATGTGTCCATGCACCTGCGAAACTGTATACTCCATGTCCTCACAAACATCTCTTAAAACCTTCCGTTCTCTTGAGTTACTCGAATCGACTTCAGTTTTAAGCATATTGCCTCTTCTCGAAGTACTATGAACAATCGGCGGAAATTCAAAAGTGTCAATCGGCGAGAGCATTTCCGAACTCGGCTCCTGTCGCAAAGGAGAAACACAGAAATTCTGTCTTACAACGGCAACAGGACTACCGACAGCGTTCTCCTCCGGACAATATGACGGAAAACGAACGCACGCTGCGTTCTCCTGTGTACAATCCTCAGCGCTATTAGGTTGAGAATTCACAGGACCATTTAAACACTGCTGCATAGACTGTTGACTACTCGAATCCGAATTCATTAGGACGGGATTCAATCTCGCCGGGCTGCACGGATAAGCGAAATATGAAGGTACGCTCGGATTCGTTATCACGTTGCTTCCTGCTTCCAAGTTCAACCTGGTAGCTCCTACTTCCGGTGACGTGGGCGGCGATGACGTCTTCCCCCGAGTTTGAGCAATCACTGTTTCGTAACTCGGCGGTGGACCGTACAATTGATAGTAGGGACAATTTGCATCATTTAGCACTACATTCATATTTTGATAATGTGTTGATGTCGTAGCGTTCCCATTGAAATTAGGAGATGTTCCATTCCTTTGAGGACCTAATGAAAAATCTCTCCTTTAGAAAATACCGTCTTGATATACCAGCTATCGATTTCCCAAGATCCATCAACCGTTATGAACATTCCCAGAAAATTATTATAGATAATGACCTTTGAACTTAAATTCAATACATAATAAAGGTCGGTAAATAGTTAAATATTAATTCCATTGCAAAAAATGATATCGAACGTGCGCAATTCTATCGACAAAATATCGAATTAAAAAATAATTTCATGAAGCTTTAGTATTCAATAACTAATAAAAATTAAGTCAAAAAAAGATTTACTAGCCTTTCCACATACGATGTAATAGGACAGTGTTTCTTGCTGAATTGTAAGAAATACGAGCTTGTTGTGGTTGACAAGTTTGACTTCGAAGCGTACTTTGTGTTCTCGAATTGGAAGATCTGCTTGGAATGGCCGATGCAGCGGCTCTATATCTTCCCTGTAACCTATATCGATACCACCAACCACCTCCGGAACACACCAAAAACATAATTATAACTAAGATCCTAGAAGAAAATAAAAAGATTGGAGTAACGAGTGTAAATTTTTATTAATAATTATTACAAATTTACGCACCAATAATACCATAAATGATGAAAATGAAGTCCAGGAGACACACAGCAGCCGAATGCGCAACAATATTCACTTCTAGAACACCTACGACAAAGATAATTTTCGTAAAACTTTAACACTTATAATTCCCATTTAAACAAATCATACTCCTTTGTTATAAAATAATTTCTTTTAAAGAAAATCGAATATATGCTAATTAAAACATGTATCGATCTTTTGTAATGTTCATATATCGTTATAATATATATATATATATATAATTATATAAACTCTTTATATAAATTATATACGTACAAATAAAAATTTTTCAATACACTAATTATTAGCGTAACGTGTAAAACGTGTATATAACTCACTCATAATATTTTCTTTGTTCAGGCAGTTCAGAGGCACAGAATTTGGCTTCTGCCTAAAAAAATTCTATCATCAATTACAATCTAATAATCAAAATAACAGTATATGAAACGCAATGTGTTTAAAGGGATGTAGAATTATTTCTATGTTTGCTGTAATATATTTACGACAAACCAATGCTTAATAACTGTTTTATTTATTAACGAATCTAAACAATATGGAATATTTTTATTCTTTCGCAGAGAATGTTATTTTTTATAAATACTTCAATAACCATTTTCCTTATAGTAATGAAAAGATCAAGCTTGATTAAAGTAATATAAAATCACTTATAGTGTAATATAACTTACATAAATTAGACATTTAGACGTTCCTATGAATATTGCCAATTTTCTCTTCGTACTACCAGTCATTTTGGTGAAAAGCATTTATTTCATTTACCCACAATTAAAAATAATACGGATTCGTGCTGTTTTGACATAATCACCTCCGACTGTCATGTGCACACAACATTGCACACCATTTATTGATTTCAATTTCGGGACCAATCATGACGTCATGTCAAGCAGTGCAGCCAATATAAATAATTATTCTTACAGATTCCATTATTACCGACGATCGATTTAAAAAAGTATATACTTATTTTAAAATCTATTTGAATCTTACTATTGTAAAATGTACAAAGGAAATAATAAATATAAAAGCACATAGTTTTATATTCCTATAATTATTTAATATTTATTTAATAACGTTTTAAAAATAAATCTAATCTTTTAGTGTATCTAATAATTGAATAAGAAAGATAATTATCCTATAAATACGATATAGAATGTTAATAATCATTTTGTATACATATCTTATCTTAGAATTTATATCACATTTCACCGTGGTTCACCGATTATTAGCACCTAAATATTTCCGTTATTTATTATAATATAGAAAAATATACAAAACTTATATAGCATGAAGAAGTACATAAGATAGTGTAAATATTTTTTGCATGGATGGAGACGACAGAAGCTCTTAAGGTCACCTTCATTTTTTTTAAATGGATTGATATGTTTTTTTTTCTACTGCATGATAGTGGATCAAGAGTGCAGTACAACAACGTATGACTCAAGGTCATCCAAGGTCAATATTTATAAGATAAATAATTCATATAGCTTTTGAATATCTATTCTTACAGAGGCTTCAATTTACAGACAATTTTTAAAAATTTTATTCTGAATAGATGCTTAAAATTATGATACAAATTAATTTTATTATATCAAAATTCTTTTATCCGACACACAGTTATGCCTCTCTACTAATTGAGATACTAGAGGATCTACTATATTTCACTTTTATGGTAATTTTAAACAGAAAATAATTGAAATAAAATAATAAATTTATTAATCATTCCATTAGTCAAAAAATTAATGTAAAATTTATATATTTTACGCAATTGTCTTCATCCTAATAATTATAAAATAGAGTAATAATTATAATAATATTATAATTATAATTATAATAAACAAGTATTCAAAGAATTTTTCAAATTAAATTTAAATCGATATTATTTATTACTGTAAATAAGACTTAATAATTAAATCTTTGAAAGATCACCTATAATAACTTAGAAATAGGATACATTCCGATGTAACCTTATTTAATTGGTCACGTGGAAAGGAAAGTATTAAGGCTTATTTTATATATTGAGTATAACATATTTTTAGGTTAGGTACATTACAAATTATTGGACTTCACATTTGCTTCTATTGAGATTGCAAGAAAAAGATTTGCACAGAGCACACACGTATTATTTTCTTGGCTTTCTTATTAAAAATTAATTTTTAAAAAATGGCCATAAATTCAAGCACAAAGCAAAAAATCGCAATTGTCTTAGATGTCAGCAAAGTTATATTTCATTGGGGTTTTATTCCTACAGTCCTCTTTTTAGGTTAGATTTTCCTATTTAGTCTTTATAATATATTTATTGTAAATAGTTATTAATATTTGTAACACAATATTTATAAATGTTTAATCATTAAATATATTTCTAGGATTTAGAAAAGGTGCAGATCCTGGCATGCCTCCACTATCGCTTATGAAGTAGGTTATCTTTCAATATACAATAATATAAATGAAAGTAAAAGAATATTCATTTCTAATTTAGATAAAACTACAAACTCATAATAAAACATATTTGTTTCTTTTACAGCTTACTGTGGCAATAATATAATTCTGTTAATAACCACTAAAAATTATCTTTTTCTATGAATTAAATTTCTTTTGAATACAGTCATATCTAAATAATCATTTAATCATGAAATTAATACTTGTTAAATACATTTTTTTTAATGTTCCCCATCTTGAAATAAATTTTACTTATTGTAAATGTTATAGTAGTCACACATTAACAAAATAATATTTTTAAACAATTATATTAAATGTGTATGTATATTTTATATTCATAGAGAGAGAAAGAGTGATCTTTATGTTTTATAAGTTATTAATATTAACAAATGAAATACGATAAATCAGTAAATAAATAGTAATGTTTAATGCTTTAAGAAAAAATTAAAAATAAACTTGTTCACGTTATTACCTATTCTTAACTATTAAAAGTGTAGAGAAATTTTCATTTTTACGCAATTGTAACCTATATTACTTAATTAACGCAAACTATTAAAATGTCATCATCTTTCCGAAAATTAAATAAAAAGTTATAATTGATATAACTCATAATAATTATATTACCAAAAAATCTGATATCATTAGTTTGTTACATCATTCTAAATATACTTTACTGAATAATAATACATATTATTATACAAAGAATTATCTCTTATCTCACTTAGAATTCTCAAATTGTTTTTCCTTTCCAATTCTAATTTGTACAATAAAACTTAAAAGAAAAATTATATTTTAAAATTATATTTATTCTTCGAGCAGAATTCCTATAGTATTCTTTATAATACAAGTTGCAAGTCATCATGCAGTTTTTTATTCAGGATTTAATAGGATAAATACTTTTTAAAAAATTTTGGAATGTAGCATTAAATACATATATGTATACCCATATATTCGCTTTTCATTAATTATCAATAAAATATATTTTTTTTGCAATTATTTTATTCAGTTTATAAATATTTATATTCATACCATAGTGATCTATGCCAGATATAAATTAATATAGAAATAAATGGAAAAAAGAAATAGTTTTATTATGTTTCTTAATATTTTACATGTTAATTGTATTTTGTGTACTTTGATATTCTAACTTACAATTAGTGGCTAAAATTTAGAGTTTCATCAGCGCCATCACATTATAACGTCACAAATGATAACATCCAGAAGCATTTGGCAACCACGCGCTCCAGTCGAGAAATTTTTCAATGAACTCAAAGTTTATAAAAGTATCGACAAAATGAGCGAGCCTCAATTAAAGAAAGTGAAGATGTCGAGTTCACTAGCCCAATTAAAGGAGATGACAACAGTTGTCGCCGACACCGGTGACTTTGAAGGTAAGTAAATAATAATTTGAGTAATCAAGGATATGTTCGAAATCGTATGATTGCGGGCAAAGGTGAAGGTGATCAAACTTAGTTTTTGTAGACGTAATACAATGCATAATTTATTTTTTTTTATATTTATATAATATATATGTTGTATATTTAAATATTAATGATTATATGTATATTAAATTTAATATAAAAAGAAATAAAATTATAGTTTTAAATAAAAATTATATACATATACGTATACATATATTATATATATATATATATATTGATATTAGCATGACCATTTCAAAAATGTTCATATGTATGTTAATATATTTATATATTGAAATGATCATATGCAAACTTGCCTTGGCAATAGATATAATAAAGTAAATTATTATTTAATGTTATAATATCTTGGCATAGTAAATAAATGTCTTCATTTTTACTAATAAAGATTATGATTATTGGCTCCAATTAAATAATTAAATGTAGAATTGAATCATTAATGCATTATATTTTATTGAATATCTTTGGAAATAATAAAAATTTCCAAACAGTTAAGATAGTAATTATAACATTATACATGGCTTAATGATTAATTACAGCTATGAAACAATTTAAACCAACGGATGCAACTACAAACCCATCTTTGATTCTTGCTGCTGCCACTCAAAAGAAATATGCTCATTTAATTGATAAAGCTGTACATTATGGCAAGAAGACAGGATCGTAAGTAAAAATATTTGCTTATTTTTGCATTTTAATGAAAACTGTATTTTATTATTAGTACACCAGAAGAACAAATTGAAGCAGCATTAGATTTGACGTGTGTCTTGTTTGGTAAAGAGATACTTAATATTATACCTGGAAGAGTTTCTACTGAAGTAGATGCTCGACTATCATTCAACAAAGATGGTAGTATTGAAAAAGCAAAAAAATTAATTGATTTATATGAAGAGAATGGAATAAGCAAGGAACGTGTATTAATTAAATTAGCTTCTACCTGGGAAGGTATTCAAGCTGCAAAGTAAGTGTTTTTATATATAAATTAAATTATGATTATATTAATAATATTTGAAATGTAATAAACTTTAATATATACTTTTATAGAGTACTTGAGGAAAAATATGGCATTCATTGCAATCTAACTCTTTTATTTTCTTTCACTCAAGCTGTAGCTTGTGCAGAAGCTGGAGTAACTCTTATTTCTCCTTTTGTTGGCAGAATTCTTGATTGGTAAATGTTCTGCTTAACTTAATATTTAAAATTATATATATAATTCATAACAATTTTTTTTACAGGTATGTAGAGAAGACCGGTATAAAATCTTATGAAGCTAAAGAAGATCCAGGGGTATTGTCAGTTACAAAAATTTATAATTATTACAAAAAGTTCGGTTATAAAACTGTTGTAATGGGTGCTTCGTTTAGAAATACAGGTAAATTTATAATAAATTAAAAACAAATTGATGTATAGACATTTTAATATATAAAAATTTTAGGTGAAATTAAGCAATTGGCCGGTTGTGATTTCTTAACTATTAGTCCAAAGTTATTAGAAGAATTAGAAAAAAGCAATGAACCTATTCATAAAGTATTAACGGAGGATGCAGCTAAGAAAAGTGACCTACAAAAAATCAGTTTAAATGAAGCTAAATTCAGATGGCTTTTAAATGAGGATCAAATGGCAACTGATAAATTAAGTGAAGGTATTCGTAAATTTGCAGTAGATGTACGTAAATTGGAAAAACTATTGCAAGACAAATTACAAGCATAAGCATTTTTATAAATAATTGCTCACAGGTGCAATAAATAATTATTTTGTAAAAATAATTATTGAAGATATAAATTTAAATCTATACATTTCTGTTTTAAATTTTACTATTTGTAAAAAGTATGGTCTATTATGTATACATTTATTTTATATATACATATATATATAAAGAATCATGTATATATATACTTATACGCATATGTACCTCCTCAAAAATCCTTACATAGTTATTGTATAAATATTGACCTACTTTATACTGTTTGAAATTTGTAATTATTTACCTGTGCATTTTTTTATACATGTATATACATCTATATTTTTGCTTCTATAACGTTTTTGTAGTGTTATACGTTTTCATGAAAGCTTCCTTTTTTTCATTAGTTTTGAACTTACAACTTAAGATTTAACAATAACACTATGAAAAATATCTCCATAAACTTAAAATCTCATAGAAAATATGTAACATAACTTCAGTTATAGAGCATTGTGTCTATGAATTCAAAACTACATAAAAAAAAAATACAAACATAGCATATAAAAATAAGTAGTTCAAGGTTTAAAAGGTACATAGTACTTATTAGGTTGACATGGGTACAAAATTTAATTTTAATAAGGTCATAAGCAATTTTTAGTTTCGATAATAGTAGTGACTTAGTAGCTAATGCTCATTGTATATGGTGTGTGAATAAAAAGGATTATCAGAAATTATCTCAGTCTATTTCGATATTCAAAAATAGTATTGCATATTTATGTTTGTTTCAACTACTGTTGATCCACTTAGGGAATGTTTTTCAAAGTTATATCTCCAATTCCCTTAAATTTTATCATAATGATTATTATATATTAACATTATATTGATAATAATCTTACATAGCAATTATGTGTGCACATGCATACACTTTTTTTTATATTTATACATAATTGCTATAATATTAAATTTTTTAATTAGTAAAAAATTATATAATAAAGCATTTAGATTTATTTAAATTTTGGACAAGTTCTTATTATATTTTACTATAATTAGTTTAACTATTTTTTAAATATTTTTAAAATTAAAATATTTACAGTAATATTAAGATCATTTGATAAATTTCGTGCTAAAATTCAAACTGGCAATTTTATTAACATTACTTTATCTAATTATATTTACATAAGGTTTTTTTTTGTGACGATTATGTTTAAAAACGTACTATGATCATACATATGTTCTATAAACATGATTTGTGAATGGAATACTTTGCGTATAAAAAAAATTGTGTATTAAATCAAACAATTATATGTTTGTAGCAATTTTAACTATATAATCTTATATTTTAAATGTAAAGATATATAAAAAGCTATAATGTAAATTTTTTAAAAATAATCCCTGTATACTTTAATTTATTTTAAGAAGCTTGTTTACAGTATAGAGTATTCTATATTATGTCAAATTTGGACAACTAAAAGATTATGCCTAGGTATATCAGCTTGCTTTGGTAAAGTAAAAGATGACCCCGCTATTTGACATCGCCTAACCTCGTAAAATCGTGTGTTGCATAACTTTTGTTTTTAAGCATGGAGTAATGACTAGTAAATTTAAGTAATGAAAGAACAGATTAATTGATAGGAGAATAATGAATCATTTTGCTTTTAACCAAAAATTTATATGACTCAAATTTAACTAATGTAAATGCGTGACAGTAATATTTGTTCTTTATAAATTTACAGTTGTTTTACAAATTTGTCTATATTTTCTTCAAACTGCAATCAAATTAACTAAATTTTATTTTAAAAAATATTTCTATACTGTATTAAAAATATTTTTTTCTTGATCTCTTATTACATTTCAAATAGATATAAATGATCCCGATCGATATCATATTCTTTACTATACAATAAAATACAATTTATGCTAAAGGAATTTTCCTATCAGTGTAAAATCAGTAACCAAGTTATTAACGTAACATTACGTGAATGTGAGAAAAATATGTGTGATATGGAAAGATAGGTATATACTTCAACGAGAAGGTCATAGAGTAGGGGAATATGATTAGATAGTGTTCAGTTGTTATTTCTTTATAGTTTTACGCAGTGCTGTCAGATCGTGGGTAAATCTTACCCTCTCCCTGTGCCACTGGGATTGCACACAATGAAAGTTTTCCATGTCCGTGTGTTTGGGATGTCGAAAGAAGTCGAGTGTAACCGAAGTTGGCGGGCACGCCGGAGTGGCACACTATGAAAGCGACTCGTGTCGTCCGAACACATGGACACGAGTCGCTTTCATAGTGTGCCACTCCGGCGTGCCCGCCAACTTCGGTTACACTCGACTTCTTTCGACATCCCAAACACACGGATATGGAAAACTTTCATTGTGTGCAATCCCAGTGGCACAGGGAGAGGGTAAGATTTACCCACGATCTGACAGCACTGGTTTTACGTGTTTTCTTTTTCTTTACTTATTTCATAAATTATTTTATATTACAATTAGCCATATTAAAATAATTTACAAAGTTCATTAATAATAATTTCTATAGTATAATTTTTTTTTTCGACCAAAATCTACATTTTAACAATATGGCAACATTAGATGTAAAAAAATTGAAAATTACTCACAGACCATTACATGTACCAGGTCTTAATGAAATAAAAACTGGTAAATATTATAAATTTATTAATGACTATACAAGTTTAACTGATTTTTTAATATTTTTAATTTTATCTAATAAATCATGTGTGTTACAGTTTTAGAGGAAGGATTATCTACAAATTTTGCTGAAGTTAAAGTAGAAATTGTAAATTGTCCAGACTTAACAAAGGAACCATTTTTACTTTCAGCCTCAGGTATTATTTTATTTGGATTTTATCACTTTTATTATTATGCTAAATATTAAGTTTTACTTTAATTTATGTTGATAGAATTCATATATATTAGTAATAAAATTATTTCAAATATCATTAGGTTTAAGTGGTAATCCTACCGTTCTTGAAATTGGAGGTCCATCTTATCTGTTGCCTATTGTTCAAAGGGATAAGTTATATAATATTCATGAGCTTTTGCAACACATGAATTATTCTGATAAGTCTTTTGTTATCGGTGCAGGAGCTGGACCATGGCCATATATAAATTCTAATTGTGAAGTATGAGAATGATTATATATATATACATTTCACATTTATTTATTTTTATATTATAACTAGTAATATTTTAGTTAATGATGAATTTAGTTATTTCATCATCTGGAATAAAGAATGAAACACGCATTGCGTCAGTTGATAAATCAAGTGGAAATTGTAAACTTGAAACATTAAATCGTAATGAAACGCGACTTGCAATATTAGCAAATCTTTTTGTAAGTAAAGGTGAAACAGGATCCGTTTTAAAAGTGCATGTTAAGAGGCGCACGGGCAAGGATGACTTCATAGCTTGCATGCAAAAAGCACTTGCACATCATTATAAAGATAAACTTGTTGGTAAGTAAACTATAAATAGGGTGTTCAAAACTTCGATGACCAAACTGCAAAAGTTTAATCTTCATTTAAAAAGAACAAAAAAATGGTATGCAAAGTTTATTCATTTATCAGACTGCATTTATCAGATCTGCGTATTTTTTTATCATATAATAACATATTATATTTGTATAATAGAAAATATATTATAAATCGATATTAAATATTAGATATAGATAATTAGATCTAATAAAAAAAATTACCAGAAGTTTTTCAAGACACATTTCAAAATGCTATCCTTATGTTCAAATGTAATCTTGATATCGATTGATAATAGAATTAATAACAACAAGTTCGTGAGAATTTTCTTGAGTTTTCATGATTGTATTTTGAATTCTTTGTTCTAGTTTGTCATGTGAAGTAATTTTCGTAGCATAAATTTTTTGTTTGAGAACTTCTCATAATTAAAAATCAAAAAATGTAAAGATAGAGTTGCATATACACATTCAAAATTTGATTATAATTCTGTAACAAAGTATTTCCTGTCAAACTTTACATAATATTTTGTTCTTTTTAAGTGTACATTAAATCCTTGTCTTAGTCTTAAGATATTTTGTGTGTATATATAATATATTATCAATCTTATTTAAGTAAGAAACATTAGTACTATTTTTTAAATAGGCTTAGGTGGAACATTTTTAATCAACGAAGGAAAAGTAAAACAGCATGTTATGCCAGATTTTTCCACTACACCATTAGACACTTTACAACAACTAGATGATTGGTTAAAGTTTTACAATATGTCAACTCCTCTTGTAGCTGTTGGTACATTTGTAAGCTCAGAAACAGTAAGTTCATATAAAAATTTGTAATATATTTACTTAAAACTAAAATAATTAAAGATAAATAAAAATATTTATAAGCTTACTGTTAAAAATAGATTAGATTAGATCAGAAAATAAATTATCTTTTATTAATTCTGACTAATAATATATAATTTATGAAGTTATAACAGGTTGTTGTATCAATTGAAAGCTTTATAATATTTTTATAGGATTTAGATCTGAGAGTACAACATTTTCACAGTTTTTCAAATCATGGTGAAGGAGGGCATTATCATATCGACACTACTCCTGAAACCATAGAATATTTGGGATATTTTAATTTAGGAAATAATTTATATCGTATTGATCAACCAGCCAAGAGTTTAAAATTTGGGAAGGACTAACTTATTGTATGCATATAAACTATTGGTTTTAGCAATACAGGTAATATTAGAATATTCAGTAATAACGATACTGGTGATGTTTATTTAGATTTAAAATACTGATAATTCTTATATTACTTATAAGGCAGTTCAATATTTACTCATTTTTATTATATTTGTGTATGTGTGGACACATACATAGGTAATATAATTATACTTATTGATAATAATATATTTTACATTTGATATGAAATCTATATTAAAATATATAGACATGTATAGAAAATTAATAAAAATATATTTTACTTAGTTTAATCTTTTTATATCCTTACAAACACTTTTTATCTTGTTGTATAAATTTTGTGCATTATATATTTTACAATTACAGCTTTAATGTAGACGTTTGATACTACTTTATTTCACTTCACCTGTTAGGGATTATTAATCCTCTTTTAATCTTTTCGACGCATTAAGCTATATGCTAATTGTCTGTAACAGATCTACCGTAGACAGTAGTCTGTTACATGTATTACTTTCAAGAAAATTGTGTATAGTGCAGGTTTACAATCATTTTAGTTATGAAGTTCAGCATTAAATCTACAACTTCCTACAATAGTATCCACCCTACTTACCACTATAATGAACAATTTGCTAACAACATTGAAACGTACCAGGAAGGTACAAAATGGTTTGGTATACTTTTAGCTTTCCTATCTGGTACATTTTTTACAATCAGCTCTGCTTTAGTAAAAGCAATCCGTAATGTTGATCCGATGATATTGCTAATTATTAGAGCAGTTCTGCAAATATTAGTAATGGTTATTATTGCGATTAAAACAACTAAGAATATAATAGGACCTAAAAATCAACAAATGCTTATACACCTTCAGGTACGTATACTGATACATATATCCTAGAATTTCTGTTATTTATTTACTCGTATTCTTTTTCTATCAATAATAGAAGCTTGAGCTTATTTATTTTACAAATAATTATTTACATGATATTTCTGTTATAAAAATTTATACAAATTTTTGTTATCAAGAATTAAAGTTAATAGTATTTTAAAATTAAAACTTTTTGAAATGTGCAAATTTTCTCTAGGGTTTTGTAGGTGGAATGACATTATCATTATTATACTACAGCTTTAGAAAATTACCTTTGGGTGATGCTACAACAATTATATTTAGTTCTCCAATTATTGTTATTGTACTTTCCTTCCTATTCCTAAAAGAACCATGTGGTTTGTTGCGCATAATAGTTGCTTGTATGCTTTTTACGGGTGTTATACTTGTAGCTAGGCCTCCATTATTATTTCAGGTAAAAATGATTTATATTAAATAAAATATAGATATTTTTTATTTTACAACTAAAAATAATATATATTACCTATGCATCATATAATGTTAAAAATAAAAGCAACGTGTTAACAAGGTTCATAATTAGATATTTATAATTCAAATGTTGGATATTCAATAATTATTTCATTAATACATTTAAGGACTTACCAGTTATTCGATACACATTCATGTACGATATTAAAAAGATTCATATTATAATTTTGTTTTGCAGACACATAAAGCAGAACCATATGATGTTATAGGGTATGTATATGCACTGACAGCAGCTCTATTTACAGCCTTAAATATTGTGATAATGAGAAAATGTCAAGAAATACACTATTCCATAATTGTTCTAAATTTATCTACATGGTCACTCATAGCAGCAACATTTTTCTTCTTCATTATTCCTGGAAATAATGAACACAAGTTGATTTTACCAAATGACTGGTTTACGTGGGGTAAAATACTTTCTTTATCAATAACTGGACTTTGCGGGCAAGCTCTTGTAACGAAAGCTTTAAAAATTGAAGGAGCAGGGAAAGTATCGATTACTAGATCATTAGATATTATTCTAGCATATATTGTACAAATATATGTTTTTGGAGAAGAACCATCATCAACAAGTGTCATCGGAGCAATATTAATTATCTTTTCTGTCTTGTGTATGGGATTTGAAAAAGAAATTTATAATATTTGTGACTTTATTCCCTAAATAAACATACAATTTATTAAATTTTTTATCTGCTCTTAACTTAAATACAATTAATATTATAGATATATTTATGCATTTCAAAATGATATCAGTTATACTGATAATTCTGTTTCCATTTTTTTCCGCATTGTAAAATTTTACTATATTTATTTTAATGAATGAATATCTACATGCATTATGTTTACTTATACTTCAAATTAAAATTTGTATTTAATCAAATTTTGGTTTATAAAAAAAAATTAGGATACCTCAAAATGTTCATAAATTATAAGCTATTGCACAAAATAGGAATATATCCAATTTTTGCAAAAACGTTATCTTTACCACAGTAGTAAAGTGTACATATACATACGTTTGTTTATATATAATATATAATATATATAATACATGTATACATTACATACGCGCCTACACGTATGTAAATTCTTTTACACATGCACTTATGCACGCGTGCATATTTACACATACACAGATAGAATTGACAATGATTTATAATGTGCAATACCCTGATCTCTATAAATTTATATAGTTAAAATACAATTGTGTACATATATACATATATACATATACATTGCAGTATATATGCATGAATATTATCTTTAATTATGTGTGAATCTAGATGATTATGTTTTTAATACAACTGTAATTTAAAAAAAAGTAAAACTACGATTAACATAATATCAAATCCAATGCGATGAAAAATACACTTTTACTAATTGCAAATACAAGTGCATTTTTATGAATGGCAATATAAATCCAATGCTTATATATCTATATATATTTTAGACTTTAATTTCCTAATAAAATGATTTATATACGTGACATTATATAACTATTCAAAATTTTATCATGCAACACATTATTGCAATGCTTAATTTATTGTAATAGTTTTATAAGTTTAAAGAGCCACGACCTACTTACACATGACAAGAGACTCACTCTAACAATTGAAACTTATATATATTTTATTAGATCTTGATTAAAGCCGTTCTGCATATTTCCTACACTAGTTGCCCTACATTTGCATTCATTAAATGATTTATACAATGTACAATGTGAAAACATATTTTCTAAAAATATTACATATTACAAGCAGGAATGTGATTTGTGTTAAATTCGATTCATTTATCAAAGCTATATTGTTAAAATTCTTAATCAATTTTTATGACTTATAATTTATGTAAGTAATATTTACATATTATTATTCAGACGCTGTTTCTTTTACTTTATACATAATATAAATTATAAATTTATATTTTACATTGGTCAAATATTTTTTATTTTGAAGTCTTATGACGTTATAATCTTGTTTTATAATAATACATGTTTTTAAATAGTTTCAATTTTGTTTTCATAAACAGATGAAGAATTATTAGGCTTTAACAATGGAAATTATTAGTTGCAAAATATGTACATTATACATTTAAACATAAAATGATATAATAAAAGTTACATTGTTAAACGTGATGAAGTTAGTTTACCTAAAATGGATTCTTCATTTATCAAGTCTTCTGAATCCATCATCAAAATGTGACTCATTTTTGGAAAAATAAAAATGAGTTTATAAATAGGCACTGTATCCCAATCCTGCGGACACAGGGAAGGGAATATCAAATAATAAAATATATTCATTTCTTCAAAAAGACTATGACAAACATTGCAGAAACTTTTATCATTTTCAAATACTTTTTTGCTATAAAAATACAGCATACGTTATTTTTGATTGATTTGCTTTGCATAATGCTATTGAAATATAATAAATTATCTTGTAATTTGATATATAGATGGAAAATAAAAGTTTACTTTTTAGAAACCTAACGTATATTTTAATATTAATATGAAAAATATATATAGAAAAGAATATTGGGCACATAAAATATACATATTAATTGTCGATTTTAAAAGTAAGTATTAAATTTCATGATCGTGTAATTAAAATTCATAATTTAATAGTTTATGGATAAATTCTATTTTTATTCGAAAAAGTCCGAGATATATGGTCAATTGCTAAGCTATAATAACACGTTTAAAAAAACATCAATTAATAAAAAAAAATATTAAATATTGAAAAAATAATTGTTATTTATTTGATAGTTTGCAATATCATTCAGTTTATAAACCTTCGAATTTTTGAATGATACTAAAATATATATACATATATATACATACATATATATACATACATATATATGTATATATATGTATATATATACATATAATATGTAAAAATATAAAATTAAAGAAACTACTAATTCTAAAATAGATTTTATAATATTGTCTTTTTTTTTTTAAGGTGTGAAAGAATAATAAGAATACCATTCTAAGATATGACCTCTTTTATAGTAGATATAAAAATTACATTACAGCAAATTTCAATGATCTGTATTCATTCAAATATCATTATAAACCAATGAAATAAGAAACATACTGTTACTATTTACGTCGAATAAAAGTCTTACAATCATTTTTCATAAAATATTTTTATCATTTAGTGATATTATACTTTAGCGCTTGACAAAAATACCTCTAATTTTCATAATAGATATTATTCAGCTTACAAATCTAAATATACAACAGAATGTACAACAATACATAACAGAATATTCAAAATAACATTTAGTTTTTAACTTTTTCATTATAATTTACATCTAGTATTTAGTTAATAAAATATAATAATATTTGTATTACACGTCGTGTATTACCCAAGTGAATTATTTTAAATTACTGTCATAGATATTATTACACATATTTTTATTAAATTTCAATAACAATGCAGTGTTCATAAAATAAATGTGCGTTTATACAGTAATAGTATTACTGTTATAATGACAAATGAAACAATAATACTACTAAACATTATTATACTAAAATTATTGAAAATTAAAAGTTGTTATTTGTATAAACATTATCCTTATAATTCCGAGTGAAATTCACACACGCGCGCGCATACACACGCACACATATACATGATAATTACAAATTTAATATAAATTTATTATTAACACTGCTTCTTTAAGAAAAAGATAGTATATTTGTCATAAATTCATAACAGGTTGCACTCAGAAATTACTATAATAAAAATGACTTTTTACTGATTTAATTCAAAAAGGGTTTGTTGTTTTTTAAGAATAATAAAGTTATTTCTGTAATTATTGCATTTATAATAATTACAGCTATATTAAATATACACGTTAATACTATTGCTGAGGGAAAAAAGTACAATTTTGTAGAGAATAATTGTATATTAAATTATAATATAAAGAAACAAATTAGATGGTAATTTATAAGTTTTATCTTTTAATTATACTATACCATTCAAAAAGAAAACAAATGTATAAATAAAATTATCTAATAACACAAGTAACATACTTTCTTGAATTAATTATTTATATGATTGAAATTTTATTTAATGATACACTTCAAGAAAATATGATCTACAGCCGATCTTTAATAATAAATTATAAATTAATAAATTTCTGGTTTTCAATGTCTTATTTAATATTTACTTTCTTAATTGTATGCATATGTATAAAATTATCTGAAATATTTCTTGTTGTTATTTAATTCAAGTTGACAATTATATTCGAATCAAAACTTTTTTCTTAAAAACATATGTAGTATAAAATTAACATAATGTTACCTAAATAATATGGTAGTTGTGGTTTTTATATTTTTAGAATAATTTGACAACTCATAATAACTCATAAAATTAATAACTTTGGAACATATCAAGAACATAAAGTTTGTTCTGCAGAATAACAAATAAGAGATACTTTAGTATAAAATAAAGCTAACTTTAATTAATTGAATTTCAATAATTGTTAAAAATTGATTCATTAAACGAGTGCATTTAGAATAGAACAAATTTTCATACCTGCTTTCATAATATTAGACAAATTAAATCAAATATGTATTGGTACATGCACCAAAAGCTCAGCACGACTGGAGAATACCATAGAACACATTTCACATGTGTATTCCAAAGTATCTGGTATTATAGTTTCTGCGACTTCATCCACAGGTGTAATAACACTATGAACAGCCATAATTCTTTGAGGTGTAGATTCTACCTTTACACTAAGTTGAACATTTCCATTCCCAATATTATCATTATTAGTCACTGTATCAATATCAGGAAGAATGGTTTCTTCTTCCGCTGTAACTACGTTAGCTTCAAAAGCAACTTCTAGGCTACCCCCATCTACTGTGTGCTCCTCCATTAACCGTATAGAATTAGTATTTTCTGTATTGTTATTATTTTGTGTTTCACTTTCATTTATATTTTCATTTGGTTCTTCTTTTATATTTATTTGCTTTTGTTTCTTTATTTTCTTAAAAACAGTAGACTTTTTTCTAGGTGTTCGATCTAATTTATCATTGTTTATTTTTACAATATTACTATGATTATTACTATGATTACTATCCACAGATTTTTGTACACCAGGCTCTATTTTTATATTTGTTAGCATTGGTGGCTGTACTTGTGTTGATAATTTTACATCTTCTTCCTTTGGCTTTGGAAATGTTGCAGGTGTTAACTGTAATTTTCCCTCAATATGATAACTAACATTTTTTGTTCTTGGTCTATTCCTTTCTCCCCCAGTGAAGATACCCAGTTTATGTTCACTTGGCATTACTTTAGGAGTTCTTGTTACCATCGTTTTGGTTTTTTGACCTTTTTTAACACCATCACTACCCATTTCAACAGGTACTCTTGTTTTTTGAGTGTGTATCATTTTAGGTCTTCCTGATTGACATGTTGTTTGCCCTTCATTTTTTTTTTCTTCTTTCCTCAATTTTTTCTTCGATAATTTTGATTTTGCAGGATTCAATTTAGAATTAGTTACTATTGAATTTATATTTTGTAAAGAACTCTCAAAACTTTTAAGAACATTTTGATAACCTTCTTCGACATTTGATCTATGTTGTTTATTTTTCCTACCAAGTTTCCGTTTTGTATTATCATCTGAATCAGATCCACCTTCAAGTGTATCATAATTTTCATTAATTCTCAACATTGTAGTTGTTTCATGAGGCTTCAATTTACGTCTCCTTTTATATTTGCGTGGTCCGGTCTGTGGTTGACGTTTTAGTGCAGTGTTATCATCACAGTGTTGAACTATATGAGCAACAATTTGTTCTGATGTTGCAAAAGCATCACCACAAACTTTGCATAAAAATGGTGTAATACTACCAACGCATTTTGGATCAGGACCTGAATGATGAGCTCGTACATGTTCTCTAAGAACTACCTATATAAAATGAAATATTATTAGTAATTTTTATTAATCTTTATCTCCCTTTCACAGGTTTGAGAAAATTATTCTATTAGATATAGATCTATTCTATATAGAGAGAGTCAGTTAATACCAACCATCAAAACAACTTTCACAATTTTATTAGAAAAAAAAAAAAAAATGGTTAAAATAAAAATTATTTTGTATTGAAAGGGACATCGTTATGGGAAACATTTTTCTCTAATGAAAGCATATAAATTGGAAGGTTATCCTCATTTTGTTTTTTTTTTTGTTTTTTTAATAAAACCATACATTTTCTAATACCTACATTTTAGCCCTTACCAAGGCAATTTCAATTGTTGTCCATAGTCAAGATCACGGACATAAGCAGAGTAGAAAAATTAAAATTACTTATAGATGTTTTCCAAATAGAAGACTCGAAATGTTCCCCATAACATAATGTTTTTCTCAATAACAAATAATTTTTATTTTGAAATTTTTTTCTATCACCAAAATTATCAATCAAAGAAGTCTTTTTGATGATTGGTTTTAGATTACCTTCACTCTGTATATAAATTATTATTTCCTTACTCTTTGATTAAATGCACGAGGGCAGATAGCACATCCATACGGTTTTTCGCCTGTATGAATCCGCTCATGTTTTCTCAATGTGCCACCATCTGCAAATGCTTTCCGACAAAACCTACAACCATAAGGTCTTTCTCCTGTGTGAATACGAATATGTATTTGCTGAGAGCTACGACTTCCAAATGTTTTTCCACATTCGTGACAAGGAAACGAACGACCACCTAGTTCTTTATTATGAAAATGACGATGACTCACAAGAGCTCTACCATCAGGAAATTCTTCTCCACATTCTTCACATTGAACCATTTTGTTACGATGTGAAACCATATGCCTATAAATAAATCCATTTAAATTATTTTCTTATTGTATGTTGTCAATTTTATAATTTACCTTCGTAATCTAGCTTTGCTATGAAATTGTTTTCCACATTTTGTACAATCAAATGTTTTATCAACATTATGTACCCATGAGTGTTTGATTAAACTGCGTTTATCTTTACATGTTTTCCCACACAGCGTACATGTATTTGGTGGAGCATCTTCTGCGTGGTTCTGACGAACATGCTCTGCAACTTCGGCATCGTCACGACATCTCTGCCCACACAATAAGCATCTACGACTAGGAGATCTAAATAATGAGATGAAAACAATTATTAGTAAATTAAGAATTACAATAAAAATATAGAACTCATCATTGGGAAGACAAGATATAAATGAGATTAGATTCACAAATAATGTATCTAAACGTAATTAGATATAAAAAGTCAAGAAAGCAAAAGAAATTATATTGTATGCAAAAAAAATTATTGCAACTTTTGTAAAGTTTAATAATTAAGATATATCATACCTAGCATGAAGTTCGGCATGCGCTAATAAAGCTAATGCTTCTTCAAACCATTCACCACATACATTGCACACGTGATGCTGACTTGAACCTTCCATTATGTCTATTTCTTGTTTGACATGAATCCTAATGTAACCAATAGTAAAATAAAAATTATAGTATTACCACAGAATTATAATAATTGTTAATTATTTATGTGTATCAAATTGATAAAAATGGTACATAAAATTACAGAATTTATTCAATAATTTTAATTATTGAAAGAAACTCAAAAATGTAAAGTCTATTATGGACATGATTTATAACAGAACATATTAATTTTTAAATATAAATAAATTTTTATTGTATTTATACTTTTAAGCATCTGTTTTACTTTGAATATATATATATATATGCCTTACTTTTGATGTCGTTTAAGCAAATCTAGACGTTGAAAAGGAACTCCACAAGTGTTACAACAAAATTCTCCAAATCTCTCATCACCTGTGTATGTAGCATCATTGGTATCATAATCTTCTATGTCCAATTGTGTAGTACCTCCATGTTTAATACGAACATGTTCTTTTAAACTATTAACATCCCAGAACATTTCACTACAAGAAGTACATTCAAATGGACTATCACCACCATGAACTCGAGCATGGGATGCAAGAGCTTTTTCTCTCGCAAACCCTACACCACAATATTGGCAAACATATGGTTTTGTGGGATCTGTAATAGGCCACCGTGGAGGTTGCTGCTCATGAGGTACTGGTGATATTTGTTCATTCCATCTTGAACTTGATGGATAATTATTACCACGAACTGGATTTCGATTAGTCATTTCTTCTAATAAGCGCATATCTTCGTCCACATAATCATAAGATTTATTAACATATTTATTCATTTCAATTTTTATATCATCACTTCTTTTTGGAATAGTTGAATTGTTTTTACGTTTTCTTGGTGCATTGGATTGTACTTTCTTACGTCTACCTTTATTAGTTTCTTCTTCCTCGGGGGCTAAGGAGTCGTCATCATTTAAATCGTCATCTAAGCCATCCCGAGATGGTGCATAAGCATGAGTTTTTAAATGATTCATAAGATCACATTTTCGTACATAACGAGCTCCACATAAATTACAATGATGAGGACGATCAGTTTGATGTGATACCATATGATTCATTAAATTTGCTTTTTTCCTGAATCTTCGACTACAAAAATCGCATGGATATGGACGAATATTTGTATAAGAATCTTGATCTGTAGGTAATGGTATTTCCATGTCATCATATTCTAATAGATTGTCACTAGAAACTTTCGTTTCTGGAATTTCAACGCTTTAATAGAAAATATTTTTTCATTAAATTTTTATCAAATAAATTATTAATAATTATAGTTCATATACAAATACATAATTGTGATTTAATTTTACAGTATAGCAGATGAGTCATTTAATTTGATGATCTTATATTATTCTAAACAATACGCAGTATAAAAAAATGTTACAACCTAAAATTTACTTGAGATTGAAAAGACATAAGTCAATATTTTTTTCTTCATGGGCAAACTATTTAAAAAATATGTATTTCTGATCAGTAAAAAATCTTAACATTAGTATCAAATAATTCATTTGATTTATCTACTTCAGTAGACACTCAAAAATAGTGAAGTACTATTTAGTATGATAATATTGATAATATTATAAAATCATATTGTACAGACAGAATGGATTAAAAGTATTCAAATTTTCTATCTGAAAATCTGCTGTTTTTTCTCTACAAAATTTACTATATTCTTCTTTTTACTTTCCCTTTTATGGGTTTAAAAGTACTTCTCTATCAATAACTTCTTATATTTATTCAATACTATCAGAAAGGTTAGATCTTTTTTCACCTCTCTAGAGTCAATAACACATGGTTTTATCTTTTGTTTCTTTGGATGGGTCACTCATATTAGTTACTAACAGTGGCTATGTAACTTGACTTTAATGGTCGTACTGAGAACTAATAATCCTATGTAGCTAAACCGTAGACTAGAATTTACTACATCAAACGTACTTCATATAATATCAAAATGATAACGGGTATCCTGCATGCTGTGTATAACAAAAATAATAAATGTTACATTTTCACTAAAATTAATTCAGTATCTTTATCTCTCAAATCATACAATATTTTGTTATTAGATTTTTTATTTTGTTGCAAAAAATAAGATAACTAGATGATTGTGTTGTATGTTCTCTTTAACGTTCAGGAACTCTAAATTGAATAATTTTATTAAAGAGCAAATAGTTCAGAATAATTAAAGGTTATCAAGTCAAATAACTAATCAAATATATTTGTTATAGATAAGAATCTTACCCATCATCTGGACCAGATCTGTCCCAATTATCTGCAATTACTTCCTCTGTGACTTGTATATTAAGATAATCATGACCTTGATCTTGTGGTACTATATAAATGGAGTCCATATCATTAGTCTGAGGAACCATTAGGATTTCAGATTCTGTCGTTGGAGGTACATTGGAAACGGATTCTCCTGTTTCTTCTACTGTAACTTCTTCACAGGCTCCTATTACTTCTTCTTCTGGTGCTACCAGTTCTGCTTCCAGACCACATATAACTTCTTCGTGAATCACATTTCCTACCTCTTCCACCCATTGCAAAGTTAAATCACCAGTAACATCCATTTTGTTGAAATATAATGTTATTTATCTTCAGAAGTCACTGCAATATATAAAATGAATATTCTTTGAATTACAAAATATAACTAATTATTATGAATAGAAAGTTCATTCACTGATAATAGCATTGACTTATATTGATCAAAAAATAGATTACAAGTATTTCAACATAATCAGTAAAAATTTTGTAAAAAGAAAGATTATTTTATTCGTTTCATTAGAAAAATATAAAACAATATTTCAACTTTAAATATTTTAACATTCTACAGAATAAATCAGAGGCAATAGTAGAATAACAGCATATTTAGAATATTGATGTGTAAGGTTATACTATATAGGTTATGACTTTAGAGGTTATAAGTAATCATAACATTATGTATTAATGTAAGACAATGTTAATGAATAAAATAATCTATGTGTCAATTGCATAATACATTAAAAATTAAGAGTGAAAAATTGGATAGTAACATTTCACGCACGATAAAAGTAGTAGCCATAGCCTTTATGCTGCCAAGCCTTCTATCATCCAACTACGAATTATAAATTGCTCTACGTACGCACGTTTTCATGCGTCAATATAAATTTTTATATCAGTTTATTGAAAGTCTATATAAGTATAATGATAACTTACTGTTAAATTTCATCAACACAATTATTAACCTAACCAAAAATACTTTATACAGCCGAGAACAGCGTCGACCTTCGGTTGTTTTCAATTTGGAGGGGATACGTTTAGAAATAAATTTAACAAAATGGCCGTCAGATGTTTCTTCAGTGAATAAAGAATATTTTAGATAAGAAATGTCTACCAACATTTGTATATCACTATAAATTGTCCAATATAATTTGAACCAATCACTTAGTGACTTTTATTAATTTTTAAACGTTTGATATTGCACTTGATGTAATTTTTAAATATTATCTATTACTTTAAACACTGAAAGTTATTTTTAAATACGTTTTTCTTGCTTTTTCAGCAATTCAGAAACTTGAAAAATGATAAAAGAACAGCCATTTTACACTTTATATCGATAAATGGAGAACTAATTTGTACAAATTTTAAATTGATAATTTTATTTTTGTCTGACGCACTAGTATAATTTTATTATTGCATGATTATAAAACAATATATTTTCAACAAAATAATTTAATTATAAAAGTATATTTGTATATATAATGTATGTATTTAAGAAAATTTTGGTGTCATGTACGTACTCTTTTTCTTGCTCGTTTATATATGGTGGATCAAAAGTTCCCAGATGATTTTAAAATCAACTACAAGCTAGTTAATGTACAAGCTAAGTTTAAAATAATATTAAAATTAAATTAATTAGCCTTTCCAGTTTTTAAAAAGACTGTGATTTTTAATGTTACCTAGAAATTTTTGTCCCACCTTGTATAATTGGAATAAGTCATGAATATTCAGCTTTATATTTATACTGAAATAACCAATTGAACGCGCAAAAACATTTGATCGTTGGCCCGCCTTTATTATTTAGAAATATTCAAATTATATTTAATTATTTAACCGAATATTTATATATATAATATAGTTAATAGAATTTTATACATAAAAGATTCCACAGAAATTTACGGAATAACTGAAAAACGTGTTGTTCGTTACCAATGTACTTTTATACTGCTGTGAAAATCAGTTACATAGAACATTAATCATGTAATTGTCAATTAACAAGTCTTGTTCCATTTAAATTTATAAGGTAAAATTAACCATTCTAGTATATTTAAAATATAAATAGGAATATACATTTTTTTATTTATTAAATTTTTATAATTCTTTTTTGTAATTTTGTAATTTCTCTAGATTTTTATTTTTTGTATTTACTCGAAAGATACTAATTAACTGGAATTTCAGATAAATTAATTGATGAAACGACTAATACTTTTAAATTTATTAAAATCGGTTTATAAATTTAAATATATATTAATAATATAAATAATGGCAATTGCCCTTAAAAACTGGCATTCTACTGTAAGTATACAAAACCAATATTATATGTCGATAATATTACAATATATTAAGTCAATTATTTTATAAATATATCTATATTTTCTCATATAGGGAAAGCTAAACATAAATTCTAATGAAGTTATCAAGCTATCACGAAATACATCATGGTCAGAAATATCTTCAACTGACAAAATAAAAGGTAAAAATAAAATCAAGTATAAAAATATGTTCATTTTTATATAATTGATTGAATTTAAATTTCCTGTAATTTATTATAATCTATTAATATTATTTTACTTATTTGTGATATATATTTCAATAGTATAACTATGTATTCCATTTTTAGAACGTTTAAAGTATCAACCTGTAAGAATAAGACAATTGCCTGATTCAAAACAAATTTATCAGAGTGGTTTGTATACACTTCGATCATTTTTATAATATTTCACATAAAATTGATTGCGATTGTCTAAAATTTATCTATTAACTTAATTTACTTAATTCTAGCACGCAAGAGAGAACCAGAGAGATTAAGAGTTCCTTCTAAAGACAAGAGAGTCGAATTAATTTCAAGCAATAATGGTATATTTATTATCTTATAATATTTATTTAGCTGTTTTAATTAATCTTATTTTTTAATAATATAGCAGTGTTATTTTTTATTTAATAATACACATTATTTTAGTTAAAGAAAAGTCACAGCAAAAAAACTTAATGAAAATGAATTTTCATGATAAAAGTATTCAATCAAATTCTAAAAGTAACAGTAAGTTTATTATTTATTGATCCTTAAAATAATTATCATTTCAACTATTTATTTTTTATCAGTTAGATAAACATATTTTTAACTGTTAAAATTTTGTGTTTATTCTTTTTTTAGATAAAGAGATATCCTTTAATGTAAATAAAGGTAATCGGAAAATACGGAGAAATTTAAATTTAAATTTTGTATCTCCAACAAAACAAATAGAAAAAAATAATAGTATCGCGTTACCAGAGGTTCAAAAAAATAGTAAATCAATTTGCTCCAATTCGAAAAATTATCGTTACAGAAAAAGTTTTCTTTTACCTCCAAATTTTATAAAAAGTAAGTATTTAAAGGAACAATGTAGCAAAGTTATTCCATCATCTACTACTATGAAAAATGATACGATAACAAATTTGAATGTATCTGAAGTTTCAAAAAACTTATATATTAAAAATTCAAATGTGAAAATTTGTTCTTCTATACAAAATACACATAATAATTCGCAAATGGAAGAAAACTTGAAGTCACAGAAACGTTTACAGTATAATTGTAAAAGTAAGAGAAATACATTGCATAAATCTATTGATAACGAAATCCCATTATTTTGCGATGAAAGTGAATTTATAAGAAAAAATATTACATCAACAGATAATAAAATACAAAAACAAGAGCAATGCAACATAAATAGTAGTAATTTTTCGATGAATAAAAGTACTGATAATTTACAAAAAATATCCAATGAATTAAATAATATAATTCTCACAAAAGGATCAGAAGTGTCTGTAAATAATGATATTACAGGCTTCTCAAAGAAAGACTATTTATGTGTTGATAGAAATACTATTGTGTCTTTAAAATCCACTTTGGAAGATATGTTAAAAGTATTTCAAGATAATGCTCTAAAAATAGATTTATTACTAAAACATATTAATAAACTATTTCATGTTAATACTGATTCAATAGAAGAACAAGTTCATACTGTTGATTCTAATAATGAAATGATAAAAAAGACTTCAGAATTGAATCTTGAAGAAAAAATAACAGAAGACAATAATATTGATACTGTAAGCAGCAGTAAGAAAAATAATATAAAAATAGAAATGGAAAAGCCAGTTGAATTAAAAGAAGAAGAGAAAGAAAATATTTCTGAAAACTTAGAACTCCCATCGAATCATACTAATATTGATCACACTAAATCTTTGCAACTAACTCCACAGGTTCTTCAAATCACTATACCAACTTATACTAAGGTTGGTGAATCAGCCTTGCAAGACTACATAAACTTGAAGGCATCTCTTAATTTTTTAGAAACACCATTAGGTAAAAAGATCCAGCCACGTATACAAACAAACAAGAATGTAGTACCAAATATTCCTAAAGATAAGTCATATCTTTCCAGTAAAATTTTTACAGAACTACAAAATTTACATGGCGAATAAGCAAATGTTTATATGTATATGTTTTGCATATGCATGCATGCTGTCATGCATCTGTACAGTATTTTTTTAAATATTTAAAAATTTATATATATATTCTATCTTTTAAATTTGAAAAAAAAATCCTAATAAACTTGGACCCAGATCTAATGTGTTTTTGCAATAAATCAATTTTACTGTGATATAAATGTAGTTCATCATAACGAATGATAGATTTGCTGAATATATGGACATTACCATCGCATGAATAACTGTTTTACATGCCTCCATAAAATTTGATATATTCTTAATTACATCACATAGAATTTAAATGCACATTTATAGTTCTTTTTTTGGTTATTAACTTACAATTAGTTATTTCTTATTTTAATACAAAAATATTTTATGTGTTGAAACTTAAATCTGCTTAACTCTGGAACAAAAAAGTTTACAAGTTTACATTTATTAGGATGTTTTTTCTCAAATTTAAGACAAATTCAAAACTATAATTAATATAAATTTAATATAAGATTTCAGATGTTTTATTTATTATTTGTACTTTTTAATTTATGGTAATTTACGTTAGTTGAGAGAGAAATTATATATATATATATATATGTAATTATAAATATACGTGATTTATCGAATAAAACCGCAAAGAGATTCCTAGTTGTATATGTAGTAATGTAGTATCTCCTTCTATTATATTTATTTATTATGTCTACATATAGATGGTGCGTAAGTAGTTAGGTTTTAATTGTATTTCAGATAGAAATAAGAGTGTAGGTATTTGAAATCGAAATGAAGGAATAAATGTCTAGATAGATATAAAATGAAAGTAAAGTCAGTTGATACTTTATTTTCCCTACTGTGTTCATTATTTCGCAATTCGAAATAGTACGTAGTGATTTTGTTTGGACAAGGGTGGTATGAATTTCTTGTTGTAAAGTGGATCGAATTGATTTTCGAAAAACGATGCACCTTGAACTACAAAATTATTTTTATTTTACGCGTAAATTGTTCTCTTTATTATGTTCACATTACGACAAATTTCATGAAAGCTACTATTGCTTACTGCAATCGTGCATTTAGCCAAGAGGACTCACGTCACGGTAGCTTTATTAATAAGTAAAAGACGTCGAGTTTGTTATTTAGAATCATATCAATAATGGTTATTAATTGTTGACGATTGTTAGTTAATTATAAAATATTTTTCTAGTTTATTTTGATGTAATAAAATATATTATTAAATAGGAAAAATGGCTCGTCCTAAACACAGAGTTAATGGAGATGTGTGTGCTGATTGTGGAGCTGTTGGTAAGTACATTAATTTTGTCCATTTTAGTTATTGACTTATAGTACTTTAGATATATAAATTATATTATATATAAATAATTTCTATATAATGTAATGAATATAATAATGTTTTAAAATAATTTGTACACATTTATAACACGAAATGTAAGCATTATTTACATATTCTTTGCACCCTTATACATGTTCTGAATATATTTTTGATGATATAATTGTTGATCTTACGTCCCTAGTGACACAACTACTGATCTTTTAGAGACAAAAATGAATATAATATTTTAATATATTTTAGACATATTTATATGTTGTATATAAATAAAAATAAGTTTCTACAGAACCAGGATGGGCCTCAATAAACAGAGCTATTTTATTATGTGACGATTGTTGCGGCATACATCGTAGTCTTGGACGACATATATCACAAATTAAGTCACTCCATAAAAGTATTTGGAATATAAATCTGCTTAATGTTAGTAATAAAATATATATATATATATATATAATAATAATAATTCAAATACTTTAATTCATGAAGAGTACTTACATATTGGCTAATAATATACAATATTTGTATACATACAGATGGTACATACATTAAATGAAAGTGGAGCAAACAGTATTTGGGAACATTCTCTCTTAGATCCTAACCATTCTAAGATTAGCAGAAGAAAACCACAAGCTAAAGATCCTATACAGTTAGTATAAAATGCAAAATATCTTATGATTATTTATAATATTTTGCATAGAAATGTTAAATAAATTTTATTTTAATATTTAACTTGTAATTCAAATACAAATTTGTTTTTAGTCCCATTAAAGCAGAATTTATTAAAGCTAAACATCAACATTTAGCCTTTATATTACGACCTAGTAAAGAAGAATGCTGTAGTGAAGAAGAACTTAGTAGACAATTACATAGTAGTGTTCGTACATCCAACTTGGAGACTTCATTAAGATTATTGGCACAAGGTGCTAATCCTAATTATTTTTATAAGGCAAGTAGTATTAAGTGTGTTATTACTTCTTTATATGCTTCTTTATATATTTTTTTAATACTCTTTTCTTTTTTTTTTTAGGAGAAAGGTACAACTCCTTTGCATGTAGCCGCAAGAGCAGGACAAATATTACAAATAGAATTATTGGTTGCCAATGGTGGAAATCCTAGTATATTAGATTCAAATGGGCAAACATCTACAGAAATTGCTAAGTAAAGATATTACAAATCCTAAAACTTATTATTATTATTGTATATCCATATCTATACATGTATATTTATAAATAATTTTATTCTTTTAGAATGGCAGGTCATTTAGATTTATCAGAACGTATTAAAGAATGTATGTATGAAGTTACTGACAGATTAACGTACTATGTATGTTCACAAAAGCCAGATCATCGATCGGATGAACATTTAATCATACCTGAATGTGCATCAATGGTGAAATCAAACGATTCAATCAACGAAGGACATAATAGACTGCAAACGGTGAATAATTATTCTATTATCTTATAATAATACATATTCTTTTGTTCTAAATGTTTCTAAAAATGGTTGTAATTTTAGCTATCAAATCATCTATTAGAAGAACTCGCAATAGATGTATATGATGAAGTGGACCGTAGAGAAATGGAAAAAAGTTAGTATTATATTATGTTTGTATTTATTGCATTCAAAATATCACTTATATATAAGTTGTTGCAAGATTTTTATTGCATTTTTTCAGACAATTAAAATCGACATGACTAAAAAAAGAATTAATTTTATTAATTGTCAATATGTTGATCATTAATATCATCTTTTTGACAAAAAGAGTTTAATAAATAAGTTCACAAAATACGATAAAAATTATGCAACGACCTAATACTAAAATATATATATTAGTATACCAAAATTTATATGTAATGGCAATTATATTAGATTAAGATAAAAACTTAATATCCAATTAATGATAATTAACTCTGTTAATTTTTTATTGCATTATTCCCGAAGAAGGGTAAGTTAAAATAGATACAAAAAAATATATTTAATTTAGAAATAGTTTGAAATAATTTAATAATGGTGTAAAAAATTAATTAAATTTTATATACTTATGTAATAAAAAAAATAGATTAACATTATTACATATTTTAATGTTAGTATAGAAAATATTTTTCTTTATAATTTTATATAATACTCTTTATTATGTAATATTATAATAATTATTAATTATTGATTTTTTATAGTTTGGTTTTCTACTGCATCATCACCAGAGAGATGTACAGTTCCATTTTTACCTGTTAATCCACAACTGTCCACAACAAGAAATCAAGGTAGACAGAAATTAGCAAGGTTTATTCCAAAAGAATTTGCTAGACTTATTATAGATCTACTTACTGAAAGTAATAGAAGACACATGCTTTCAAACAATATATCATTGCAAGGTTTGTCAATTTCCGTAATATATAGAAAAATAACATGTATTAAATATTAACAAAGATATATATATATGTGTCGTATTTAAGATCCTGTGGTATCAATGCTTCGCAAAGAACAATTTGGTAAACATGGATCACAAATGTCTGACGACGAACCTTTATATGACAGTGTAGCATCTGATGATGATTATACTTTAACTTCAATAGATAATACCGCAACAGAATTATCTACTCAGCTGAAAATTGCCGATGAGGTATAATAAGAATTATAATTATAATCTATACGATTTAAATTTGAATTTTAAATTAGATCTGTTAAAATTTAGAAGTAAAAATTGTTTAGACTTATTAAAATAAAATTAAAAAAAATATATATATATACACACATTCATCTTTTTTAAAATAATACAAAAATACGAAATGAAAATATTTCTAAATTGTTAATAATATGTTGTTTTTCGTACAATCATTATACTTATTGAAGAATTTTTTATTTAATGAACTTATGTACTAACATATTGAAGGTATCAACTTTGGTAAGAAAAAGAAGAACTCGGAATCGACTAAACTCATGGCTGTTCTGTAAGCAGTGTTATTAGGCAAGTGCACAACATTGTTGGTGCATGTGCAAAAAGTACAAAGTTCTATATTTCTGTGTGTGTGTGTGTATATACATATTGAAATATATTAAATATTTGTGAAATGGCTAAATATCATAAAATGATATGAAATATATTTAAATAACAAATTATCATTTACATAACAAATAGTCAATACCTTTTTTGCAAGTGAAATTACTGACTTTACTCATCACAAATTTAATATATATTTAATCTTTACTCTGTGTGTGTATGTTGCTTATTCTTTCCAATTTATAAGGCAGTAAAAAAGGAGTTTAATATTTAAAGGGTTTATAGTACTTATTAAGAGAAGTAACAAATATCTAATTAACGTAAGTTCTAAAATTAACCTTTTTAATATAAATTACCTTTTATATTATTTATGAGCGTTGGATATCATAAGCGAGTCTCTTAGCAACTCATAATAAACTTGTCTTGACAACTTGGAACTAATGTATTCCTAAGTGAATTCCACTGTGTACATTCAATATGTTTCCAAGAGACTCTCTTACAGTATCGAATACTCATAAATAATAAAAGTTAATTTACATCTAAAAAGTTGATTTTAGGACCCTTGTTAATTAGATATTTTTTACTTTTGATAAGTACTAAAAGTCTTTCAAATTTTTAACCCTTTTTTTTCTACCACCCTATATATATATATATATATATATATATATATAAATGTTTATAACAAAGTTATACATACAGAGAGGATTTAGAGTTTCTTTAGTCGTAATTAGCAAAAGAATGTAAAATATTTGAAAGATTTTTCTTCCTCTATCAACTGTCTTAGAAATATATAATCAATATAGCATATTACTTCTCATAATTTGTAATAATTATTAATATAGTGTGTTGTATGATGTTTTATTTTTTCCCCTTCATTTTTTATGTAATTTATATTTTGTGCATTAACTTTTTTTAGGATGTTTTCATTCCAATGGCGAAAGGTCTTCCATCTGTAGTAGAAGTTCTAAAGAAACAATTAACACTTTCAGAATCTACTGTTCGAGATTTACAGAGTCAAATACATATTCTTCAAAATACTGTTGATCAACTGAAACAAGAGAATGTTAGTTTAAAACAAATAATTGAGGTAAGAAAAGATTTCAGAAATAACAAGTATTATTTTAAATTTAATTAATTGGATTTTTTCA